GATTCTCAACTCAACTTCGCAGATATTCAACATTTTATGGGGTTTTTTTCCAACTGTCACGGTTTTTGTCATCACAAGTAAAAAAACAGAGAATTCGTCTAATCCGGATCTCAAAAGTTCAACGATATTAAACTCTGCTTTCCTGAACCATGAATCTCACAAACTTCACGAAAAAATTATTACCGAACGAATGACATAAATTACAGAATGATTTAGCCAAATCGAGCTTTCTCAGTAAGACTAAATGTTAAAGTTGACTGTAAAAAATCTATGCATCATTGTGCTTCTTGATTTTCAGAATTGTGAAGAAATCGTATTTTTTATAAGGTTATACAATTTACATTTTTGATGTGTTAAATTGTGATAAGAATGATACAAATAATGAAGTGGAATTTCACACTTCCAGAGTTGCCAAAAGTTCGTATGAACCATGGTCAGATTCTCAACTCTCGCAGATATTCAACATTGGGTTTTTTTTTCCAACTATCACGGTTTTTGTCCTAAATCTACTCGTAGTTATTGAATTATCCAGTTTTGTGGAAATCCAAAAAACAGCATCTAAAAGGACATTGAATGTCCTTTAAGAAGACACCATTCTAGAATTTTCAATTTGATTTTTGGTAAACAAAAAATCGAACACTATGTCTTTCAAAAACTTTGATTTATGAGGAAAACCGCAGATAGATAAAAAAAAATAAAAACATAAAATGTTGAATAACTGCGAAATGGTTGAGAATCGGACCATGGTTAATAAGAACTTCTTGTTCTGGATGCCTGAAATTCACTGGCAAAGTTTGTGACGCGAATAGCCTGACACATGTATATCAGACAATTAGTTTTGCTATCTAGGATGAGAAAATAATCTGCACAATCGCACTTAATGTGATTACATATAAAAATTTACAAAATTGAAAAGTGTTTCTACTAAAGTACTAAAAAAATGTTTTTGAAAAAACAATCGGGATTCATTTTACGCACTCTTTGTGGACCTCAATTTATAATTTATTATAACAATAAAAAATTAGACATTTTTAACTAGATTCTCCTGGAGCAATATTCTGCTCCCCGATGTCCGGTATTTCTCTTAAAAATTCGTTCGTTTGAAAGTTTAATTTCTCTTTTCTCAAATTATATCAACAATGTATAAACTTTATGTCTTGGCTCCATCCTATATATGATGCTTCCAACAACAGCCTTAAGCCTAGGGGACTTCTGGTTCTTCCTAACCAAGCTACGTCCTATATCTAATGGCATCTTGAAGCTCATTAGTGCAAAACATAGAAGGTGTAACTGAATGCTCTCAAATTTAGTTCAACAACCTAGTTTTTTAACACATCGTACAAACCATTTTTAATTCCCGTTTTAATCCTCGCCGACTGAAGAGACAATGACCGCGAGATCTCCTAGGTTGTGATGATGGAGTAATACCAATGGTTATTTTATCCATCTTGTTTTTAATTATTATATATTGCATCCATTGTATTTAGTGGTCTATTGAGCAAATTATTTCTTTCAATTAGTTGATCTTTTTATATAAGGTTTTGGTTGAAATGAAAAAGGTAGTGCCTCGGGATTCGAATCCACGACCTTCCGCTAAATACGCCGCTGCTCTAACCACTTGAGCTATCGTGACTTGGATCCATTCGGACACCAACTCCCCATCTCAACCTACAACCTTTCGAATTCGAATATTTTTGAAAAATGGAGGGCAAAAAGGAGGGAAAATTCGAAAGGTTGTAGGTAGAGATTGGGAGTTGGTGTCCGAGAGGATAGAGTCACAATAGCTCAAGTGGTTAGAGCAGCGGCGTATCCAAAGGTCATGGGTTCGAATCCCGTTCGTGGCACTAGCTTTTTCATTTCAACCAAAACCTTACACAAAAACATTAATTAATTTATACATTACCTTGCCCAATGTTACATCCTACTTACTTGAAAGTAGTTGTAATGTACTACAAATTAAAAAAAAAGTTTTAATTATGGTAATAAAGGTTCAATTTTCACGTTTTCAATTCGATGAATTGAACAGAAAGACTTATGGCATAATTATCACAAAAATTTATACATAATAAAGTTCCACCTACAAATAATGTAATATTTTGTTCAACTCGATAAAGTTTTCAAAAAAAAACAACAATGGACCTTAGTGTTTGAAATCAATTAAATTTTTGAATAATTTTTAAAAAAGCAATTGAAATAATCAACAGAATTGTCCGTGCCGGTTTTTTGAATTTGTCTGAATTAGATGCGAGTTACAAGAGGAACCAGCATCTACAGATAGCAAGATTACAGCCTAAAATGATTAAGAGCATATGTTATGAATGGATTACCTTGACATTTTTATCGGCGGATTATCTCTTTCTAATAAGAAATGCCTACAACTACTTTCTCGATCTCATTATAGACTCCGTAGTACGTAAAACACTGTTGGTTTCTTATTTTGCACTTGTCCGAGTAGATTTTCGTTTTCGAGAAAAAAAAAGTATTACGAACATAAATATTTATTGCTACTAATGAAAATATAATTTTTTTACAAAGCATGTATTACAAAAGATGTGTAAAAGCGATGTTCTTTAAATTCCTTAAGAGATCAGAAAAAGTTTTTTTTTAACCGAACAATCTCACAAAACCCGTCTAGAAATTTGAATTTGAGTTTTGTCAAATTTCTATTATTTCGGTTACAAAAATCGATTTTCCACGCTTGAAATGATAATGAAATCTGTCCAAAGATATCATTATCGTTCGAAAGATATCGCTATAAATAAAAACAGATTGGTTTTACAACATATTATCCTGCATCACAAATCGTTGTTAGACTATTACACCGAGAAGGAGAGATAGATTGTTCTCCTAATCTGATTTGCAGAGGTGACTCAGTATAGGCCATACGTGGCTGGTTCCTAAATTTGACCAAAGCCCTCTAAACTCCCGACGTGACTTTTTGGACTTAAAGCTATTAACAAAAACCATAGATTCACCGACACTACTTCTTAACCTTCTTTCTGTAATCAGACATACACAGAATGCCTCAAATCATAATACTAGACACACTCACTTCGTGAACATCCTTCCTCCTCTTATGAGACCTTCAAATTTCGTTACCACCCAAACAAAAACAAATTTTACCCAAATCCGTAATATACCAGTCAATGACTAGATACCATCCTACGAAAAAACAGGAATTCCTAGAGATTAAGAATGCTCATCCTAGAGCCATTTTTGTTTATACCATTAGAGGACCTGACTATGAGCCGATTGTATCAGCATCAGAGGTAATAGAAGGTACCAACCTTTTCGCTGATCTGTATCTCCATCAACTTTAACGCTGAGCTACTAAGTCTAAAGCTCTGAACTGTCATATGCCTAGAAAGTGACAGATTTGTTATATTATGTTCTGACTATCCGCCTTCCTGGCCTTGGAAGATCCTTTTTCTTCTTTTATCCTGCACACCCCATCGTACATTGAATTATCTCTTTCAACGGAACATGAAAGTTCTTTTTTTCTAGGCACCTGGGCCTCCGATATAATGGGAAATGAATAACCGTTAAAACTGGGTTCAAAATCAAAGAAACACACAGATATCCTATGATTTCGCATTGAAGATCGTTCGTATGGCATAAATGGGTACGAATCTGGTCTAAAATTCCGAGGGAAACAAAACGAAGTCAAAGCTACCGTGCGTGTTGGACGTCTTCTCATATGGCAAACAGCAAAGAAGTATTTTGTCCAAACTTAAGATCGAACATTGTAGAATCACCCAGGGTCATTTGATGCCACAACCCTATATGCAAAGAAGGGGTTAAAACAAAACATATTTTGACAACCTGCAATGTTCCATGAGCGTAAAAATGCCCATTCCCTACCCCCTATCGGGCATGCTGTAAGCAAATAAAAACTAAATTTTACGTTAAATATAAAAAAAGATGAAGAAGTGAAATTACATCAAATTCTTGGTTCAATATGGATTACTACGAGTACATATCTACGAGACTTCTCTTCCTATACGTTCATTCCTATTTAAAATTGTATTTATTAGCGTAAATGTGTAGCCCGTTATAGAATGTGGAGGACCTTTGACGGAATATAGAGCATATCAAATTCACTAGTTTTCGTGGTCCGCTTGACCAATTAATATCTTTCAATTAATTAAGGTTTTTAGTTGAGATAAAAAAGTCAATGTCACGAGCGGGATTCGAACCCACGACCTTCGGCTACATACACCGCTACTCTACCACGTGAGCTATCGTGACTTCGATCCACTCGAACACTAACTTCCCATCTCAACCCCACCATTTGAATTTTCCCTCCTTTTTGCCATTTTTAAAATGTTGTAATCTCTCTAAACTAAAAACCTTAATTATTTGAAAGATATTAATTGGTCAAGCGCAACTCGAAAACTAGTGAATTTGATAAGTTAAAATGAAGTATACCTTACTAAAGCTCTCCGTGGCCATTTCATTTGTCGCCGAGAATCAAATAGATTACACGACATTTGAAAAATGGCAAAAAGGAGGGAAAATTCAATAAGTGGGGTTGAAATGGGAAGTTAGTGTCCGAGTGGATCGAAGTCACGATGGCTCAAGTGGTAGAGCAGCGGCGTATTTAGCCTAAGGTCGTAGGTTCGAATCCCGCTCGTGCCATTGACTTTTTTATCTCAACTAAAAACCTTAATTAATTGAAAGAGCATATCATCGATCTTCACTTAGTTATTTCCTTTTGTGAATAGATGTTTGGGGGGGGGGGGATATCAAGTATTCCATCGCCACCAGTAAACGAAATATATTTAAGAGAAAGCAAGTATTTAAGAAAGAGTGAAAGTTTGGGACAAAACCTGCCTGAGACAGTTTTTGAAATTATTCAATAGTCGATACCGTCTAACTTCAGAAGGACAACACACATGTGTACGTTCTCCGTTGACATAAACAGCTAAAATTTAAGTTAAAAAGAACTTGATAGTCTTGTATTTTTAAATTTTATTTGAAGGAAAATATATCTTTTTCAGAATGGATTTGTGGAGTGCCAGAAAGAACAGTGCCCTAGCCAGGAGGGGTGTCACATGCTCCTCGAGATCCCGAAGAACGGATGTTGCGGCAAGTGCAAAGGGTGCATCTACAAAGGAGTGGAGTACGACAGCGGAGTCGAATGGAGGGATCCGGACAACCCTTGCAAGGTCTTCACCTGCCGTGGAGGTGTAGTAACTGACACGATAGAACAGTGCTTCACCCCTTGCAACGACCCTTTTCCTCCTCTACCTGGGCAGTGCTGTCCGACATGCAGTGGTCAGTAGAATTATTCATTTTCGATAATAAACAAACAAAGATTTAATAGTTAACTTATAAAATAATAAGTTCCACTTATGTCGTACGAAACATATTTACGTCCAAATACTTGTCGGGTGTCGTAGATTTGCTTTAAAGAAAAAAATCTAAAATTTACTTGAGTCTTTGTTGAAAGAGAAACAAAACGGGTAAAATTCGGTAATTATGTTTTATTGTTAAATTTAATTTTTTTGGTAAATTTTATTGTTTATTTTGATGGGGAGTCAGTTGAGAGAAATCCCGAGGGGAACAATTTTATTGTTGTCCTGGTTGGTTAGGGGGTAAGAAAGAAGGTCGTAACAAGCTTTACAAATAAAACGATTTTTATAAGCTTCCAAGATTTTTCCGAATCGCCTTTATTTTCCAAAGCCTTTACAAACTTTGAATTTATAAAGATCTTATTAAAAATCATCTTCTTACATTGGAAAAATATAATTGTCTTATTGACTTATTAGTAAAATCATAAATAAAATTCTTTTTTTACTTTTATAAAACCACTAATTATTTTGTAAAAAAAAATTTTGGTTCAATCTAATAATATCAATAAGGCTGTCACCTGTAAGAATTCGTATGCGTGGTAGGTTGAGTTATTGCTTGGAATTGATATGTGGTCCCTGGATTAATTGCTGCTTCATATTCATTAGAATTGTTCTGCTCCTCTCAGTTGTATTGTATGCTAAGTGAATGGCAAAGTACTACCGGCGCTATGTCTGCAAAAGGAACAAATCTTTGGACTTTGTTAACTGGGGTGCGGATCTTTTGTTAACTTGTTAGTATAAAATATTATGACGTGTAGAGAAAAATGTTGATCTATCAATATACTTGATATCAAAGCATTAGTAAAATTCAAAGAAACTTGAAGAGTTCGCCTAAAAAAAAAGTCCGAAAAACAAACGATTCCATTAGACCAAAAATAAAATCGCAACAGAGGAGACACAGGTTTAGATAAATTTTGTAAGTGTATCTGTGCACAAAGTAGATACAAAAAGCTATAAATTTACAGAAAATAGTTCACTCTTTTTGGTGTGTATATTTAACTTTTTCTACCAGAATGAGAAGTCTATAGGGTTTATCGCAACTACTTGTTTTTAGAATATGTATAGTTATTTTTTAGTCATCTATCATTAACCAACCATTATCAAGTTGCTCATAGGACTGAGAATGCCGTCTCCATTTTTGCTAATAACAACAACCTAAAGAGAAACATCGAATAGCTGCAATATATAATATGTCTACGGACGTCATGACTCCTCAAAAAAAGCCAAATTGTTCCGGCACAATAAGAGTCCAGACAACTGTCTATTAGGTTCAAGGACGGTTCAAAATACAAACACAAGTTTGAGTCTTATAATGTCAAATTTTCTTGATAAATTGATAACTTGAGATTTGTGCCAGGACACATTTGTACAAGGCCGGGCGTACAAAGCAAGAAGCACAGGCATCACCAAAGCTTGAGACAAGGTGAGTGCTCTGGGAATCATATACTAAGAAAATTGTTTGTCTCGGTCCCAGGACAAACAGGGCAAAAAGGAGAGACAACACGCAGGAAAAGTCTGATAAATTCTCAGTGAAGGTTCCTCAGCAATACCATCAGAAATTGTCATAACCTATGATCAAGCTGCCAAGAGAAACATAGAGAGAATTTAGCATGCCTGAAACCTCCATTTCTCATAGGTTTGACATCACAAAGTAATGCCAAATTGTTCCGGCTCAAGAAAACATACAAGAATGTCCAGCCTAGTCACCGGTGACTCTGATACAAGAACAATTCAAAAACCAAACTTTTGAGGGTTACAAAATCATTGTTTTACATTAGCCATGAGACTGGATTTGTCCGCTGGGAGTCATACAAATGGAAAATTATCTGTCCTAATCCAAGGAGAGAAAGCAGGCAGGTAAAGAGGCTTACTAACTAGGCAGTAAAGATTCTTCACCAATAGTTACCTTGAACCAAGACGTCTCGCCTAAGCTTACAATGTTATAACCTGCAACAAAATTGGAGAGAACATCGGATCTAAGGAAAAGGAGGAAACCGCAGCTAAAGAAAAGCTCAACTCAGGAAACTTAACTGAGGAGGCAATGAAAGATGATAAAAAGCCATACAAAATGAACATAAACCATATGGGGTAGAGCACAATAGCCCTACCTAATAAACGTAGTGCAAATGACACTTTAGCTATGTGAGTAAAAAATCTAACCTAATCTGGAAGAGTAAAACTCCATGTGACAGTTTTTTATTGTAGTTTCGTCGTTTACGATCGTTTTGATTTGCAGACACCCCTCGACTTTCTGCAGTGCCAGTCTGTGAAAAATATTGCGAAATATAGAAACGCGTCTGACAGACCCAAACAGCGAGGATAAGCAGACGTAATGGTCGGAAATGACCCAACTACATATCATCACCCTAAGACCCCCAAGGGAAATGCCACAGTTTTGACTGTACTAATGTATGTCCACACATCCCCCAACATACAAAATTTTTGCATGTACCTTGTCAAAATTCAGCTTGTACAGTCACAATCGAATGCATTGTATCGTGAAGACACTACCAGTCTCTATTGCTCTTCATGGGTTTCTGAACCCTGATATGCCCCCGGGTTGACGTGTAAATACAAAGGTTCACGCGGTGTTAACGATGTTTTTGTACGAGTTTTGACAGCAGGTTGGTAGTCGGTTGATGAGTATAAGATAGGTGATAACCAAACACTGCGATAAGGTATGTAAAAATTATTTTTCGGATGCTATTCGAATATTGAAAATGAAAGAATTATAAGGAAGACAATTTGACTAACTTGGAAAGATGGTCAGCTATAGGACCTGGGCTGATTTATTGAACAGGGAACTAGACATATAGGCGACATATCCCTTGAACGGATCTTGCGGGTCACGATTCAAGAATGGTATAGCGGCGAAGAGAAAGGATCAATTAGAAGTAGGCCTACCTCTCATCCCATTGTCTCGAGAGAGCTTTTTCATCAATCTCAAAGGAGGGAGGATAATGGAAACCCTGACAGGAGCATTAGGCCTTCCTCTCTTCCCTCCCCCGGTCTCTCGTCCTTTTTCATTTTTGCCCCGTCCGTTCTTCGACGGCGCGATTCGTCTCTCTCGCCCCCTCGATAAAAAGCCATCCGTCCATTCATTAATTACACCCGGAATCTATTTGCCGTGGCTTTTTCTCACGGGGCTCTGATGTCTGTTGTGCCTCCAGGTTGCCGTGTGAACGGGCAGACCGTCGTACCAGGGAGGACGGTGAGAAGCATGGAAGACCCCTGTCTCAAGTGCCACTGCTCCAACGGAAAGGTGTCCTGCGCCAAGAAAGCTTGCCCGGTCGTCCACTGCTCCCCCAGCTCCGTCCTGCCACCTGGACCAGGAGAATGTTGTCCTTCCTGCCAAGGTATGCATACAAAAGTGTTTTACAATTATTACATATTATGAATGATATCCTAAAGATCACTTCCCGGTTTATTAATATACAAAAAAAAAAATTTAACCATCACCATCTTAAATTTTGCACTTGCTACCTTCTACCAAAAATAGTGCCATCAACCAGTCAGAAACAGTAAGAAGTACAAACAGTAAGAAATAGCAAACAATTTCTTAGACGCAATAAATAAACTAACAAAAAAGACACACAAAAACAGACATTAAACGGACCACAATGGCATACACAAAATAATCTGTTAACAGAATAGGCATAAAAACTACACTAAATATAACAAACGCAAATTGTCTCCTGAGATAAAACATCGTCAAAATTGGCCCACTAGACGAAAACGCCGCGAATGCGGAAAAACAATACACCGTACAGGAAGGAAAATAAAGGACTCAAAGAATTTACCTTAAGATAAGGCTATTTACGGACACTGATGGGAAATGAACAAAAACCTCCACAAATCCTAAAAAATACGGGCAATCTTAAAACACGTGACATACAGAAGGGTCGTACGAAATACACAAATGAACGACTCGCACATAATAGAAACATTATACAAACTAAAAAGAAAATGAACAACCGATAAAGATAACAACAACAATCCTTTTCCTTTTACGGCGAACTTATAAAAGATACATGATTAAACAGAAAAATCACACAGACCAACCACCGAAGGCGGCATGTTTGTCAGATAAGTTTCTTTTTTTTGCCATCTTCAGTAGCGGATTCGTATCGATGATTCCTTCCTGACATCCTGCCAACCGAGGGGGTTGCCTAAGTAAGGGTAATGTGGTCTTAACCGATTAGACCCAACACTGAAGATGGCGAAAAGCAGAAACACGTTTGATGGAACAAAACAGCGAGACTGGACAGACCACGATGGTACGCCTATCATTGCTGTTTAGTTATGTCAGACAGGTTTCGATTTTTCGCCATCTTCAGTTCAAATATCCTACTACCCTACAATATCGTGCAATTAACCATATCCTGTTTACAATCCTACCAACTGAGGGTAACTAAGTAAAGGTAATTTGAGCGTAACCGATCAGATCTAACAGTGAGGATGGCGAAAAGCAGAAACGCGTCTGAAGGAATAAAACAGATCATGATGGTCCTCCTATCATTGCGATACAAACCCGCCTCTGAAGATGGCAAAAAGTAAAACCTTGTTTGCAGAAGAAAACAGCATAGCCTGGGCATGATGGCCCGCCTATCATTGCGGTAATGTTATATCAGGTAATTTCGGTTTTTTGCCATATTCAGAGGTGAGTATGAGTCGATACAAATATCCTGTATACTTTGCAATCAATCATATCCTTCCATTTTATCCCTGCCAACCGAGGGTAACTAAGTAAGTGTATTTGGTAATAACCGATCAGAACCAGTACTGAAGATGGCGAAAAGAAGAAACGCGTCTGACAGAACAAAACAGCGAGACTGGGCATGATGGTCCGGCTCTCGTCGCTGTTTTGATAAGTCAGACATGAACGGTTTTACCTCTTCTTCAGTGTCGGGTTTATGACGAAGCTTCGTCCTGCTTATATCCTTGCCAACCGAAAGTATTAAGGGCAATTTGATCGTAACCGATCACCCAACACTGAAGATGGCGAAAAGTAGAAAAGCATCTGACAGACTGAACCATCGCCGTTTTGTTATCAAACAGTTTTTCACCTTACACAGTGGCGGGTTCGTGTCAATGATTCATCCTGCTTATATCTCTGCCGACCGAGAGTAAATTGGTCAATCTTTTTGGTCTGTCCTATTTTCGCTGGTACAGTCAGTCAGATGCGTTTCGGCATATCGCCATTTTCAGTGTTGAGTCTAACCGGTTAATACCAAATTACAGGTTCGTCAGTACGAAGACCTTAAGTTTACGTCTTCTATATTGTTATACATAAAAATAAGACGTTAAGTTAACTAAAATAATCGCAAAGTCTTTCATATTTGAGCTATTATTGCAAGTTTCAACAATATTTGATAGAACTAATTTAATTTGGATGTCCAACTCAAGTTTGATCAAAGTTCACAGTTAGTAATATATGATTCGTCTTAAAAATATCAACAAAATTTCCTACAAATATTAAATATCTTGATAATTTTGAAAAACGATTTTCGCCATCTTCAGGTTGGGTTTGTGTGTTTTCTATGAAATCAAATTTCTTTAAATTGTCCAAGTCACAAGATGGCGAAATGCCGAAACGTAGCTTAGAGACCAACACGGTAAGTATAGGCGAACCAGGATAATCGGCATGATCAAATTATATGTTCATTATATATTTTTTCCCCTTACGATCGCAGGAGAATACTTCACGATTTTGATCATTTCCTGCACGAAAACTTCGTCCTGAACCTTTTTCCTTTCCGAATTAAAGCACATAACAGCATTTTCTACCATTAATTTAACTTTTTCACAAGCGTTGTTTTTCAATTTGGAATTGTTACATTTTAGGCTCTAGGAAGCTTATGTTGCCACCCCAAGGAAAATGCATACTCGGAACTGGACTTCACGAAGCCGGACGGAGTTTCATGCCTGACCACTGCACCATTTGCGAATGTGTAAATGGTACGAGTGTTTGCTCTAGGCCTTCTTGTCCAGTGCTCGATTGTCCATTGGAGAAGCAAGAGCTGAAGCCGAACTCTTGTTGCCCTCACTGCTCGCCCAAATCCGAGCTCTCGAATACTTGCAAAGTTGGCGATTTGACTTATGAAGTAAGTCGTTTTTGATTTTTGCAATTTTTATTTATTTTTATATCATTACTTATTGTTATAGGATGGAGAAACATGGCAGGTAGATCTTTGCAAGTCGTGCGTATGCAAAGAAGGTAGTGTCAGATGTGCCGCAGAAATGTGCCCTCAGCAAAACAAGGCTTGCCCTCCAAACCAAAACCTCGTTCACCTGGAAGGCCAATGCTGTCCAAAATGTGTTGAAAGTAAGGAAAGAATCAAGGAAAAATTAATGTAAGATCAAGTTTCAATTTTATACTGATAAAACTGTTTTTATAGGTGATGGAGTATGCACTGTTTTTGGTGATCCTCATTATAAAACTTTCGATGGAAAATTCTATAGTTTTCAAGGATCGTGCAAATACCTTTTAGCAGCTGATCGGGTTAACAATACTTTCTCAATCCGTGTCACTAATGATGCAAGGAATACAAAAACCTCTTCATGGACCAAGACTGTTTCCATAAAAGTAAATCAGTTTTATTTTATTAATTCACTACTTTCGTGGTCCACTTGACTAATTAAAACATGACAATTAATTAAGGTTTTTAGTTGAGATGAAAAAAAGTTAATGGCACAAGAGGGATTCGAACCCACGACCTTCGGCTAGATACGCCGCTGCTCTACCACCTGAGCCTTCGTGACCTCAGGAGGTAGGGCAGCGGCGTATCTAGCCAAAGGTCATGGGTTCGAATCCCTCTCATGCCATTAACTTTTTTTCATCTCAACTAAAAACCTTAATTAATTGTCATTTATTTTATTGATAATTATCTAAACTGTAAAAACTTAATCCTTCTTTCTTTTTATTTGTGTGTCTTAAATGTTAAAGTGGGGGAGTCAGTGTCACAATGGTTAAGGTGTTTGTGTCCAGGTTTCGAATTCAGGGCCAATGGATTTTTGAAAAAAAAAACTGGCACCAAGGGGTTGATATGACTAATACCCTAAAAAAAATGGTCTATTGTGTTATTTAAATTTCTACTTACAAATAAAAAGAAAAATGGTCTATTTGACTGCTTTACTTCAGAATGTAACCAATTGTTGAATACTTAAATAAATAATTTTTTTCAGGTTGATGGGATTAAAATAAATTTAGGAGAAAAAAGAAGAGTGAAGATCAATGGGAAAAGAGTTTTTATTTCAAAGTATGGAACGACTAGAAATGGCATTCACCTTTCTGAGGCTGACGACAGTGTTCTAGTAGAAACACAACAAACGGGACTGAAAGTACTCTGGGACGGCAATTCTTTCCTCGAGGTGTCAGTGCCTGCAAAGTATAAAGGAAAACTCGAAGGACTATGCGGTAACTTCAACAGCAAGCCCGGTGACGATATGACATCGAGATGGGGAGAACCGATCGTCGACCCTGATAAATTCGGCAACTCTTGGAGAGTCGGAGGACGAAGGGCCTGTTCACGAGGAACCACACTAGTACCAAAGCAGCAAGGCTGTTTTTCCAAAACGGGCTACCAAAGGCGACAGAAGGAAAGGCTTTGTAAAATTTTAAGGAGTCGGGTCTTTGCCCCTTGCCATAAATACCTCAACTATGTTATGTACTACAAGTGAGTATTTCACATGCTTTCAATTTTTAGTGTTTTTTTAAACTCTTGTGTTTTTAGATCCTGTTTAGTAGATATGTGCGAGTGCCCTAGCAACATGTGCTACTGTGAATCTTTTACCGCTTATGCACATGAATGTGCGAGGCTGGGAGCAACCCTCCATGATTGGAAGAAAGAGACTAGTTGTCAAGCAAGGCACTGACAAACGGTCACCAGGTCTAAACCAACCAAAAAACCCATTCGCCCCATTGGGGAAGGAAACCTAGTCAGCCCAATCACTAGTACCAATGTCGGTATTACCAGTTCGTCCATTTCATGGGGAAATCGGCAAAGTTTCTTCAAGATGAAGGCTACATGCTGGCTCTTGTTTCAGATGTACCAGCGCTCGAGTTCAAATAGTGATGGGCCATTTTATTTGCTTCTATTTTATTCTCTTTTAAATTATGAAGGCTACATCAGTGTAGGCCTGGCTTGGAGCAGTTAATCAAAGAGAAACTAAGCTCCCAGAAAGTGCTTCACAGCAAAAAAATATATTTAAAAAAAAATAGTGTCCGTTTGTAAATATAAAGATGCTTTTGCGGTTGCTGTATTTTAAGTGGACACATACAATTTTTATAAAAGTGTAAACTCTATTTTTATAATCATGATATAGGTACACACGAATTATGTTAGTGTTAAATGAAAATCTGAAATAATATAAAACAAAATTAAAAAAAAAAAAAAAAAAAAACAATACCAAAGACTTGAATTTTCCTCTCTATCTTTATATAAAAATTTACCAACACAAAATACTTCTTGCCCAAATGTGCAATATATTTATGATGTTATTTTTTTTATTTTAACCATGTTTGTGTATTGTTATAACCGAAGCTTAGTTTATTTAAGAGTTATAAAGTGAGGCTCGAATGTTCCAAGAGATCAAATAGTATTTTGTATATATTTCACTATTTATGATATATTATAATGATTAAGAAAAAATAAATTATTGATTTTAGTTTATTGTTTTCTATGAATGAGGCAGGTTTCTGTTTTGCCTAATAAAGCCAATTAACCAAGCTTTTGATAAACTCTAAATTTATAATTTTCTGTTTTCCTTTTTTTTCTTTTTTTTTGCCAAATGGCTGTAAATTAAAATGTATTGTTTAGAAATTAAGCAAAATGTTTATAATGAAATTGATCTCACAAACAATGCATTTAAATTAAAAATGAAATATAAGAAATTGAATTTCGCAGTGAATTAATTTATCCTGATTCCTAAATACATAAATGGACTTATAAGTTGGGATGGTTCTCGACAACTTCAGCATTGGGTTTACGCAAACAGAAAGGGAGGCAGACCAAAATCATTGGGAACCTCGAAACTACAGACTCTAACCTACCTTTGTTAAGACTCCAAAACCAATTAAATTGACCAGAGACATGATTGTACAATAAAAAATTCTGACACACATTCCTACATAAAGTAAATTACTGCATGATCCTGGAACATGTTTGGCAACATCCTATAAATTTTTAAAAAACCATAAAGGCTAAAGACTAAATCAGGATAAATCAAATACAATTATATGGTATAAAGTTAGCCATAAAACAAAAGAAGGAACCAGTTCAAGTATATTCTGTACAAGTCCAGACTGTAAGTGATCAAACTCAAGGGAGTACAGCTCGGTCTTTCTAGTTGATAGTTTTCTAGTTTTTGGTTAGTCTACAATATGTCTTAAAAGGTGTTAAACTAACAAAAAAAATATTTCTCATTAGATCAGACAACCAAGCAGCCCTAAAAGTAGTAGAAAAAGTCGCAGGCAATATAGTTAGTGAATGCATCTAAAAACTCCAAAACCTGGGAAAACACAAAAAAGTTTTGGGTAATGAATTGCTGCTTGTTGCTGACAAAAGAAATTGCCACATTATCTTCAAATGTAAAGTTTGGTACTTAGGATACCAAGAAAACCCAGGAAAAAGAATTGCAATGACCTACTTACTACTTCTTATAATTATTCATTGAGATGAGATTGACATCGAGTCAATTAAAAGTAACTAAGAAAGTACAATAAACCAGAAGGATGACAAAAATAGTGGTTCAACACAATAAATAAATTAAGGTTGAGATAAAAAGTCAGTGGTTTAGAACCACTCAAGTGGTTAGAGCAGCGGCCTATTTAGCCGAAGGTCGTGGGTTCGAATCCCGCTCGTGCCATTGACGTTTTTATCTCAACTAAAAACCTTAATTAATTGAATGGTATTAATTGGTCAAGCGGACCATGAAAAATAATGAATACAATAAATAAATAGCTTCAGCAGAAAAGATGTTTCCTGGTGGTTTTAAAAAGTTTAAAAGAATTCATAATTGATCGCATCAGACCAAAACACGATTCCAGAAAAGTTAGACATATCTAAAAAGTTTCTCCGGCCCAAGTCTGTGCCGAATGAGTGCTGTTTCACAGAGCCAACCAATGACGACTGGTCAAATGGCATTCAGCCTAAAATGTTTAGGCTAGTTAAGGAAAATAATTAAAAAAGTGAAAAAACAGGACTTAACTTAGAGGACTTCATGATTAGGGAGGAAATAATTAAGCCTTCTTTAAGTTGCTTATCAATCTCCAATGCTCTACCATTATACATCATTATATTTCACACACTTTTTTCCTTTTTTGTACAATTCCCCTTAATATTCAGTTTAATCAAATCCTATTGACAAAAAAATTGAAATTGCCATTTATATTAATTAGAAATAGAGTACATAAAAGAAATTAGCCATAAAAATTAAATTCGAATAGAATCTATTTAATAGAATTGATTCTAGGTATGGTATGTTGCTTAACTACTTTAAAAGATAGTTCTTACTCATAGTTTGTTGTTTTCAACTGTATGAACAAAAATAGGTTGTTGTAGGTTACTATCTTTTATAGTAGAATCTATTACTATAAATCTTATTACACAAAATAAAAGCTAATATGGTAGAAACATTCAAATACGTTCAACCTGGACTCGCTCAACCCGGCCTATAATGTAAAATGTGCATAAGAAGACAAAATATATCTAAATAATATATTTTGAATTTTAATCGATAAAAAAAGTCAACCTGAAGTTGTGCATTGTTCTCTTAGTATTAATAAATTTAAGAGGAAACTACCAATACCAGTGAGATAAACAGGGACAATAATATATCATTTTTACCAGAAGTAGTTTTATTCTGCAACTTCTACAAAATAGAAAATCTAAAACCCTAATAAAAAAAAATTACATTTATCACAGTAATCATTTTAATATTTATCTTTCCAATGTTTCATTTATAAAACAACAATTATACTGAAAAACATGTTTTAAGAAAATCTAATCGTGTTTTACATGTTTGATCACACTACACATTCTTAAAGTAAATAATCATATATTATTACAAGAAAATTATTTTTATAAATAAAATATAAATTTAAAACCCTTTAATACCGTCAAGATTTAATCACCCTAATCTGTATCCTCATTTAATGATGTCTGTCGCAAAAGCTCTTTTACTTCTTCATCTAAAACAATGATAATTAAATATATTGAGTATATTATATTACTAGCATATTTGTATATTGAAATATATAATTTTATGATGGTAAACATATAATGTTTATTATATTATCAGTTTTATTTATTAATATTCTTTTAAATAAAGGATGAATTTTGTTAGACAACTTTTCAGATAGAATCATCAGACTAAAATGATCAGCACGGACCAAATTACAGTTATTCATCACACCACAGGCAAGATAAGAAATATAATATAATAATAATACTTCATTATAATTTGAAAGTATTAACAAAATTTTTCAATTAAAAAAAACTATGAAACATATTACCAAAGTCCTCAAAAAATTCTGGTTTCCTTGAGTGCAAGTTTTCTTTGAATATACCATCTTCTTCTTCTTCCAAAATTGGAGATGAAACTGGAAATCGGTTTCAATTAATTTTAGACAACTTTGACACTGTAAATGACAGCCTGCTAACCTCTATCGTCAATTTTTTGCCCTTTGATGACTCTTTCAATCGAAATTGCGATATACTTTTTTAGCAGGGTGGAATCTGTTACGATATTGTCTTCGGGTACTGGAGGCATGTATTGATCTCTCATGGACCTTGCTAACGTCGTTCGTAACAAATAATTCAATGCGGCTTCAGTCACCTCAGCCCAACCCTGCACATCATATTTATTTATTGTTTTCACAATAACAAAAAAAAAACATACCTGATTTTCTCCGATATGATTAGTGTGAGATAAAGCATCCGATAATTTTTTCACATCTTCATTTGAAGCACCATACAGTTTACACAGTATAAGTGTAAGCCTAATAAGACTCCCTAACCTTGTTCCATTTTCAATAAGATCCTGGAGAAAAAAATGTTTTTAATATGAATTATTGCAGTTGGTATTGAATTACTTTTTGCGCAGTCTCTAGTTTATGAGCAGCATCTAGAATATATTCGTGAGTATAGTTTATCAGTTCATTAAGCGCTGATAAATCTGTTTGCGTCTTATCTCGCATTTTTGTAAGCAGCCTTTTCTGTGCGGCTCTCATTTGTGCTGTTCCCACCTTCAGTTTTTCCTAAAATTTTTGAAATGGTTGATTATAGAGTAAAGTACTTCAGACACGATGATAGTACCTGCAACGTTCTTATGTTGTTTCTGAGTTCAACGTTATTGTCGGCAGAATCCAATAATTCAATCAGTCCGAATGTGTGTTGGCTCGATTTTATGCCTTTAGGCGATAACTTCTTAGATAAAATAGTCACTGGGAGTGTTAACGCTGTGATGGTGTTCGAGTCTAATCTGTATTTTTGCTGATTTTTATTCACTGTTATTGTGAAGTTTGTATCAGCCATATTTTTATATCTGAAGCCAGCTTGAAGTTCATTACTTCCAGTTTCATTCCAAGAATCAGCACCGAATTCTTTTTTGAAAAAAAAAAAATAGATAAAATCTATATACTCTAAGAAAAATATAAACATATTCTTACTCCATGTCAGTTTTATACCTGGAAAAAGTGTTGGAAGAATAACTGCATGGGAAGCAGAAAGGATGAGAGTCGATTCTAAGTCTTTAGATGGTGGAGCAAGCTCCAAAACTAAATGCGGAGGCAGTGTTAAACTTGCTTGTGCCGTGCCACACCTGTCATCGGAGCATAAATAAACCGCTAAAACATTAACATCAAGATCCCAAGGAACAGTGTGACTTGCGCTGACACTTATATTCGAAAACACTTCAATTTTATCATTAAGATTCGGGATGTAGTGCGAAACGGGCACAGCGAGCATTGGATGCTGGACGGTTACAGTTATATGTATGTTGTGAACGGGTGTCAATGCCTGAACTGACACTTCAAACTTGCAAGCTGTCTCTTGTTCCAAAAGCGGCCATACTTTCGGTATCAATTTCAAATCAGGTAGATTCGTCGGTGCTCCCAAAGTGTTCTCTATAATTTACACACAAAAAAGACACCCTGATCAAATGAAAAATTTAAAGAAATCCTAGTTAAATCGGTTTTTGAACTGTTTAATTTTTGACGAAAATTTGAATTTAACATATTCTTTACTTGCTGTTTGAGAAAATGTAGCTATTTGATGTTGAAGTGTAGCTAATTTTGATTCAAGTTCTGAAATTGTTGATGTTCCGCTTGGTATAGGCGGTGGGACAAACATTGTCGGTTCTGTGCCAAGGTAACAGCATTGAAGTTCACCATCTTCAGATAGTAATACCAGACACCCGACTATGCCCTTTATTCATACAAAAATATACATAAAAAATTCATATTAATAAAAATAAACGAAATGCTTAAATTAAAATTGTTCGCCACCTTGAAGTTGCCTTTAATAACTGCGACAGGTGTCAAGGAAATTTGCGCAGACCACTTTAATGTTGTTTGTTCGTATATCATCAATTGGTTTGTATCTGTAGCAACAAGTGACATCACCACTGGCTCACCTAAAATAAAAAATTTATTAACAATGAACCTTGATTATTTTGTTTTTTCTTTTTCAAAAGTACCTCTTGAGTAAATAGAAGAGCAAATAGGAGTATACTGTAATCTTTTACAGAATTTCATTACTCCAGTTTCGCTGAAGCAATAAATATTTCTATCGCTCAGAGCAAATATCGCCGCTTCTGTTGTAGTTACGCTTAAAAAGTGCAATTCGTTTATCGCCTCGCCTAAGTTATACGACCAAGAAGGTGTCAATTTTGGGGAAGAATCTTCACCCAAGATCTGGTACCTATGAATTCAAATAAATTAGATATTGAATTTGGCCCTAAGAAATTTCTTACCTGTAAGATTCAAGATGCCAGTTCGCGTTTAGTATTATAAAAGAGTCAGTATGGGGAATGTAGACGAATGGCGAAGGGATAAGAAAATTTGGCAAGGAACGAGTTAAAGTTAGCGTTTCTTGTTCGTAAAACATAAGAGTACCGTCTAAACCCTGCACACAAATGAAGTCTCTACCTTCCACACCGCCAAACCCTCCGACAATCATGCTATAAGCTGCTCTTTTTAATTGGTGTTCATACACTATAAATAATTGACTTTGATCTCCTGAAACAACATAAGAAAATAAAGTGAATTATAAAATGTTTTGATTTTGTTTGAAGTTGAATGCATGTATCAGACATCATAAGTTGTGTGTTTAATATGTGCAATCAACTTCAAACAAAATCAAAACATTTTATAATTCGCTGACTGCGGAGTATAGGCACAATGCCTGACAAAATACAGAAATGTGACAGACCAAAACAGAGATAATATGTGCTGGGGGAGGCCCTAACATTTATATACCATTTGAAGATGGCAAAATACAGAAATGCAATAGACCAAAGCAGTGATAATAGACAGAAAACTAAAATTAGGAATGACCAAACAAGAAAAATTGTATAAGGTTTTGTCGTGAAGCCTGCAGGGAGATGAGCATATAACCTGGACATTTCCTATTTCTGGTTGCAGAATGAGGCACTATCACAGACATGCTATGAAGATGGCAAAATACAGGAATGTGACACACCAAAGCAGTGATAATGACAGAAAACTAAAATTAGGAATGACCAAACAAGAAAAATTGTATAAGGTTTGTCGTGAAGCCTGCAGGAGATGAGCATATAACCTGGTCATTTCCTATTCCTGGTCGCAGAATGAGGCACTATCACAGACATGCTATGAAGATAGCAAAATACAGAAATGCAATAGACCAAAGCAGTGATAATTGACTGAAAACTAAAATCAGGAATGACCAACCAAGAAAAATTGTATAAGGTTTTGTCTTGAAGCCTGCAGGTTGATGAACATATAACCTGGTCGTTTCCTATTCCTGGTTGCAAAATGAGGCACTCAGACATGCTATGAAGATGGCAAAATGCAGAAATGCAATAGACCAAAGCAGTGATGATAGGATGATAGGTAAGAGAGGATGATCGAAAATAACTAGACAAGAAAAATTTTGCAAGATTTTGTCTTGAAAAAATCTGCAGGGTGATGAACTTATAAATTGGTCGTTTCTGATTCCTCGTCAGTTGCTCATATTCATGCAGTAATCATTCTCAGTAGTTGTGCATTTCAGCTGGGTGAGGCAACAAACGAACCATTTAATGATGACAAAATACAGAAATGCGAATCACCAAACAAGAACATTTTTATATTTCATCTTGAGGTGTATGGAGTAATGGGCCTATAGTTTGTCATTTATGTTCATCCTGATCTGCCCATTCTAGCTGTTTTGATCTGTCAACATGAACACAAATTCAAGGTTAGTTGTGGTCGGTGTTGTCTGTTTGTCAACAACTTTGATCAATGTCTGGATTTTTGGGTCAATTTGTCAGTACTGTTTAATATCCGTGCAGAATGCACAAACAACTTTTATAACTACAGTGCAGTTGTCTGAGGATATAAAGTGGGAATAGGCAGACCAAAATGATCTTTCACTAGCTGTATATACAAATTCACCACTGGTAGTGAAGCATCTCTAACAGACTGGTCTGTCACAGTCAGTAACAACCAAGCTAGAATATTTTTATGTAAAGAGTTGTGCCAGCTTCAGGATCTGCCAAGTAGAAGTGTCTTCTTGATAAATATCCTACTGATAGGATTTCATTCTAAATGTTTGCCTTTAGATTTTCTATCTCCAAAGGGATCTTAAGTAGCAAGAATGCACTTCTATTGGGGGGGGGTCATCCATATGCTGAAGTAATCTAATATTCTTAATAATTATTGGCAGTTTACCATGATCAGTGGAACCAGAGAGCGTAACAAAGTTGTAAACAGCTATACTTCTCGGATGCAGTATTGCTAGTGTTTTACTCTTTGACCCCCTAAGAAGAAAAACAAAAATGGTATTAAATGAGAATAGTGGGCATATTCAGCAGTGTTCTTACGACATAAATCTTCCTGTAGCTATCTGAATAATAGGCTGTGCCAGGTCTATTTCTATCACCAAATCCGTCGGTGCAAAGCCCTTTTCGTCCGCGGCTTCGGGTGGCTCGGAAAACGGGCTGAAAATCCTGAGGATTCCATGGTGACTTCCGACGATTATGTGGTCGGCACCTTCGCCGTTGAGATCCGCGACGTGAAGGGACGACTGTTCAAAAACTTCGTTCTGCCCGCACCTCGTCGACCACAAATCCCGTACTTTGAACAATGACATTTTATTCGCATTTCTTTCCAATTGTAGACCTCATTTTCAACTAATTGTGAAATCTGTCGAAATCCATCCTACACCCTGGGTCACAATAGCTACGTCGACGTTTTGACAGACATGACTCGAGGAATTTATGTTTAATGTATGGTCTTCGTGTTGCCGTGTTGCTTAGCGACATCCTATACCAAACAACCTGCATAGTTGGCCTTTTCGTTTATTAAAGGACAAATCTATATAGGACATTATTGAACTGAGATTTAACTTTGAAAATGCGTATTTAGATCTCTATGAAAAACTTCGCTGATTAAAGCTTTATTGGCCGATTTTATCTTTTAATTTTTGGCTAATCCCACTTGTATATGCAAGACATCCTTACACAAAAATTACATTATTTTAATGACATTTTAACAGCTGCAAGTTAAATCAAAGCATAAAATATAATATTGAAATAGAAAAAGTTAGATTGAGATCATTAAACGACGCCGTCCGTTTTTTTCTTGGCAAAATGGCAGTCCTACTACTGAAGATGGAAAAAAACAATGATATATGATGATGTCAGTACGATCAGAATGACCAAACAACAATATTTTTAAGGGATTTTGTCTTGAGGGTTGAAGGGTGATGGACCATTTCATTTCTCATCGGCCATCATCGTGGGCAGCCTACCTTGCATATGCACTTTGCCATTCTCAGCAGTTGTCAGAAATAGCAGTTGTCAGAAATAGCAGCAGGGTGAGGTACTGACCTGCTGCTGGCAGTGTATAGGATGATCAGAAACGACCAAACTACGATAATTTTATGAGATTTTGTCTTGAAGAATGATGAACCTGTAACCTGTTCATTTTCCATCATCTTAGCCAGCCTACCTTGCATTTATGCAGTTTGCCATACTCAGCGGTTATCAGAAATAACAGCAGGGTCAAGGGTGAGACACTGACCTGCCGCTGACAGTGTACAGGATGATCAGAAACAACAGCTACAATAATTTCATGAGATTTTGCCTTGAAGAGAGATGAACCTGTTCATTTCCCATCATCTTAGCCAGCATATCTTGCATTTATGCAGTTTTCACTGGTTGTCAGGGATATCAATAAGTTGAGACACATCTACTACCAAAGATGGCAAAATAAATTTAAAAAAAAAAAAAACAACAGTAAACAGGATGATCAGAAACGACTAAACCACAATAATTTTATGAGATTTTGTCTTGAGTGATGAACCTGTAACCTGGTCATTTCCCATCATCTTAGGCAGCCTACCTTGCATTTATGAAATTGGCCATTCGCAGTGGTTGTCAGAGATAGCAGCAGGGTGAGGCACTGACCTAGTCCTACTACCAACGATGGCAAAATAAAGAAATAACAGCGAACAGAGTAATCAGAAATATTTTTATGATATTTTGTCTTGAGGGTTGAGGAATGATGAACCTGTTCATTTCCCATTATCTTGTACAGCCTACCTTGCATTTATGCAGTTTGCCAATCTTGGCATTTGTCAGGGATGTCGTTGAGCAAAGAAATTTTTAATGAGATGCTGGGTTTTATATAGCACACAAATTGTAGTTTGCAGGAAAAACAAATTTACATAGCTTCCTTGTAACTGAGATCTTGAGGTGAGACACTGACCCCGACCTACTAATGAACATGGCAAAATACAGAAATGTGGCAGACCAAAGCATTTATAATAGATGATAAAACAGGGTGGTGAAATGAACAACAATAACATTTTTATCAAATTTTGTCCTGAAAAAATCAACAGGGTGTTAAATCAAAATGAACATGCAGCTTGGTCGTTTCCAATTCCTGGTCGGTTCATCCTCACATTTGTACAGTAGCCATAGCCAAAGATATCAGCCGGATGAGACACTAACACATTCCTATCAATGAAGATGGCAAAATCAGAAATACTTGACAGACTAAAATAATAAAAATGGACATAATAGATGATGAAAAAATTCTCAAACATGAAATTTTTATGTAATTTTTTCTTGAGATCTGTGGATGGCAAACCTAGTCACTTCCAATCCTCTTGGTCTGCCTAGGTGTAATTTCCAAGCATAAAACATAAATTTAACTTTGGAGTAGCAAAGATGATGTTTGAGGCCTTACCAAAAAAATAATTGGCTTGATGATCTCAACTGGATCATGGCTCTTTTCTGCTCCTATCTGTGGGTTAATCTGCTCTCATTATGTATTGTAAATGTAAAATTTTTTGTATTTCACTTTAATTAAAAAGATGAATTTTTTTCTCTTTCGTTAGTTTTAAGAAGAAAATATTATTTTAATTCAAACATTTAAAAAAAAAATTATGATTTACAAAATATACTTTAAAAAAAAGTATATCAAATAACTTGTAAAATAAGTAGTCAAAGACATAACCACTGGGTTTGCCAGAAATTCTATTATGAATAAAGACCTAGGTATACCAGAGGTTGACTTCGTCATCAAGATCAAGCTACTCCCGTTTAAAGTTAATATTATCAATATAATTGGTTGTAAGCTTCATAGTTGTTAATAGTAAATATAATACAATTAATTAAGGATTTTAGTTGAGATAAAAAAGTCAATGGCCGAATCGAACCCAGATCTTCGGCTTGATAGCCGCTGCTCTACCAAAAAGGAGGGAAAATTCAAAAGTGCAGTTGAGATAGGAAGTTGGTGTCCGAGTGGATCGAGGTCACGATAGCTCAAGTGGTAGAGCAGCAGCGTATCAAGCCGAAGATCGTGGGTTCGAATCCCGCTCGTCCATTGACTTTTTTTATCTGAACTAAAAACCTTAATTAATTGTAATATATTAATTGGTCAAGCGGACCACAAAATTAATGAATTTAAATAAATATAATACTGAGTAAAGGAGGTTTTCCATTTTTCTTGATGAAGTTTTTCATTTGTAAAAGCCTCAGGACAAAAAGGATTTGTTTAAAATCAACAAATAGTTACTGTACAGAAGAAAAGACTATTGAAATTAAATTAATTTAATCACAGTAATAACATACGCAATGATTGGCTGTTCATGATTACATAAGGATCACTGTTATACATACATATATTTTAATTTTTACAGGTCTACATTTGTTACAAAAGTACAGTCTTTGATACATCAAGGCGATAATAACTAAAGGAACGAGGGGCACAAATATGAAAAAAAAAAAATATATATATATATATATAGATATAAATACGCATATAAGTAAAACTATGAAAGGTGTTCTTTTATTGTGCTTATTTTTATTTATTATGTTGATGTTGTTCAAACATTATCAATATCCATATATTGAAACTTTGGTGCTGAGTTAGGTAGTTAAAAAAAAGGATAACTATAATTTTACATTCAATTTGTTAAATTCAGTGAAATAATTTTGTCCCAAAATAGAAGTTTATTTATTTATTTTTAATTTTTATTTGTTTTTTATTTTTTTTGTAAATCCCATCATTGTAAGGATTAACATTTGTTTGCATCAGGCTTCTCCTCTGGTAGTTGGCTTTGAGATTGAACTGAGACTAGATATCGTTTTTGTAAGGCATCACCTCCCGTAATTGGTTCCTGTGCAGTCGTACAGGACTCAATCAAGATTTTCCTCCATCTGAGTTTTCTTCAGTTCATTTCTTAAGAAACATTGTTTTGGAGACCCTGACCCTGATTTCCTGAACTTTTTCGCTATTTCTCAACAACTCTAGCCTGCCTTCATCAGTCATAAATCACCACCATTAGCTCTGGACTGCCATCGTATCATTGCCGCCCGATTAAATAAATAAATTTATGTATTTTTCTTTTGTACTTTTCAATTTATTTGACCTACAAGCTTGCATTTTTGCTTTAATTACAATTTTTTTTCTTTTCTAGTTTAATTCTATTTTTATTCTTTTATGTTATATAGGAGGTTCATTAATGCTATTTTGCTGTCTGTATAGCCCCCCCCCCCACAAAAAAACGAAGTTTATTTGGTTACTTATTTTTTGTTAATAAAACATTGTCTTTTTCATGTGGTGGATTATCAAAAATACAATATAATAAATGCAAATAGCCAAGTTTTCAATCTGGTAACAGGTAATTTAAGATAGTGGCAAATTACATTTGTAATTAATTAACAATTATTTGTTGAAAAAACATCAAACTTTTTCTACTCGCACTAATAATTAAGTGCTTTAAAACAGACTTTTAATATAAAAAAAAAATTGCTCTATCAATTTTGAGCTTAAAGATTTACCAAATTAACTACATACTAAATATAATGTAAGAAATTAATTCCTTGGTGCAAATTTGGATTTCAGTTATATAAAGGAACAATGATCAGCTTTATAATTTTAACATAAATAAATGAGCTTCAAAAATTTCCTAATATAGGGACACTACAATTAATTAATATAATTTTTCAACGGTTAAAGATATTTTTCATATTGGAAGACACATTTATATAAAGTCTAATATTTCTAAAATGTAACAACATAAAATATATTTAAACAATAATCAGTGTCTTTTTATAGCGATAATAATTTTTTTTCTTTAAAAATTCAAACAAGTACTTGTAATTTTATTTTGTACATATAGGTTTTGTGCTATTTGCAAATGCTAATTTTCATACCTGTCAAGGGTATTCAATACGGTAAAACCAGCTTTGTATTTTCCTCATGATATCTCCGAAGTAGCAATACATCCCGGATTGGCGTCCATTAAAAAATTCAGGGGGGCAAAATTTACCGCCCCCCGACATGCTATCATTGATTGTTCTGTTTATTCGATCTGAGCCTCGCCAAACCGGATCTCTCCTCTTCCTCGTCACTGGTGTATGACGAAATGCCAGTGACGGCGCCCCGCGATGAGGTCGCCTGCATCAATTCCTGATCGGGCCCAATACGATTCTCATAAAGCAAAATGTTCAACGTCTCCTCGTATATCCTTGCCTCAGGAAATTCAACCTGTAGAAAAACTTAATCAACAACCCCATATACAATTGAAGTCTTTCCTTTAGTAATTTTTTTTTTTTTTTACCTTGGTGTGCTTTTTGTCGGTGGCGTACAAAATCGATGTACAGCAGACTTCTGCAACTTTCTTTCCATGCCCATAAAATCCCCAGCAGCAGATCTCACTAGATCCTATCACATCTTTAATAAATAAAACTCTACCACTAAACCTCAGAGATAATTTATCGAACAATTCAATGTTTTTTAGAAGATTATCGTCAGAAGTGCTAAAATAAAATAAAAAAAGTCAATGTAATGCATTTTTTACTTAAAGAATAAAAATAAAGAACATCAATTACCTTGTATAAGAATATTTATTGTTATGCCTATTAATAAGCAATTTCACAACAGGCTAAAACATAAAAACAAAAATTTATATATTTAAATGATCAATTTCATTGTTTAAACCAACCGCACACTTAATCGGCCGACTGTTCAATCAATCGCTCATACAGCATTAACCTTTTTGGGGCTCGTAAGAAGTTATCTCATTCAATCTTGGAGGCTCCCCAGGCAAACTCAAGCTGGGCAGCTTTATTGGGCTCAGGTTGTATCTATTAGCAGACACCTCAGTAGTAAATAGAAGACATCTCCCACATCATCCCTCATCATCAACAAACCACTCTTTTCTCCCCGTTCTATTCATAATCTGGGCTATCAAACTTTTGTGAAATTGCGACAATCATTTTTCTGGAAAACCATTCGGCCACTATATCTGAGTTTCATTGAGAATGACCTATAACTCCTGCCCCTGCCCATCCCTTTGGGCTTCCCAAACTTTTTAGCCAGCGGACACTTTCCACAGAACAAAATCCATGGCGAACCCCTCGCATTCAAGTATTTAAAATTAGATGCTTACAGTATCTGTAGTAAATTAAAATAACATGCAATAACAAATAATACAACATATAAAACAATCATTACACTCCACACATCAAACTACATTGTCTAAATCTTCAACCATTTATCTCTCCTTTCCATAATAATACCATCTGTAATAATCCTGAAAGGCTAACCAGGCCTGAACGACAAACCATTACCCCTTTTTTTCCGTTGTCAGTCCCTTTCAAAGAAGCCAACTCCTCATAGAAAAATGAATTTCTATCCTTACTTCCTTCCCCAAACATATATACATAAAAAACATTAATCACATCAACATTCTCAACACGACGCACAACAGTAACAAAATCCCAGGTCCTGAAATTGATTTCTTAAGATGGAAATGTTGGCATGATAAAGAAAATGTTTTTCTGAAACTTACATCATACCAGACCTCATCTCACGATCTCTAAATAATCTTAATTAACGGTCACTAAATACTACACAGAGATAAGACTTCAGAACGTAATTCCTACAATGTAGAAAGTGCTTTCCTACAAGACAGCCTTACTTCGATATGGAGAAAAAAGAATGATGAAGGCGTCCCATATCAACACCTAGTATTTTGAAAAGTCTTGACTTCAACAGCCGCAACTTCTTATAATTAATAATTTGCACACTCATCTAAAATATTCTTGAAAGAAGCTAGCATTTGTTTCATAGCTAAAGCATGCCTGTGGAGAACACAATGACTGCTGCTGCAAAAAAACTTTCATTTTCAGTACTCATTGTTATTACTGTTTTAATTTTGTTTATTCATTCTACGTTTATTTTAGTAATCATTAATTTTTCTCAAAGTTCACCACAGACACCCTAGTTAGGGTCGGTGGACCCCCAGTTTGAGAAGTCCTGCTCTACCTTATTGTCTGATTTTTCACCTCTTATCTGCCAAGTGCCCTCAGTTTTATTTTTACATTTACAGTAATTTTTGGAATATATTTTTATTTTTGTTGCCATTATTTATATGTACATATTTTTTTAATAAACTTTTTTTTCGATTGTACTCCTGTGTATGTATGTACAACCGAGTGACAAAATTATAGACACACCCCTAATTGTTATGATTTTTTAATGTAATGGGTTTGTACTACAAATATTTATTCAAAACACATGAAATATTTTTCTTCATTAAACTGAAATTTTTCAGTATATAAGAGAAAAAATTATTAAAATACTCAAATTAAATGATTTTGTCTGCGACAAAATTATAGACACATGGGATAAAATCAATTTAAAACAAGGTTATAATATTTTGTGGCATTATCACTCAGTTTTATTTCCAGTAATCTTTCTGGAATGGTTTTGTACAAAATTTTGAATAAAATCTTGAGGCAAATTATTCCAGGCAGTGGAGACAGCTGTTTTAAGTTCGTCGACAGAGTTGTACTGCTTACAGTCTTGATACCATCCTCAATAATTTTCCCCATACATTTTCTATAATGTTTAAGTCTGGTGAGACTGCAGGCCATTCAAGTTTTTCGCTGTTCTATGAAAACCATTCTTTAACAATTTTTGCATTGTGTATACCTGCGTTATCCTGCTGGAATATTAGAGTCCCTTCGCATAAATCGCTGAAACTAGTTTTTTCTTTGTCCAGTAATTTCTTGTAATATTCCAAATTGACTTTTTTTTAAGAAAACAAAGATTCCCTTTTTTATTACACCCAATACACCCCCAAATCATCAAAGATCCACCACCCATTTGGCGCCGTGACAAAATTTTTTTGTCTTTAGTTAGATCATGAAAGTAGTATGCATATCCGTCCGGGCCATCCAAATTGAATTTTTTTTCATCAGAAAAAATAACTTTTCACCAATAATCTTCATTGGCAATGTGGTTTTCAGCAAATTTGACACGGGCTTGTTTGTGGTGGGGTTTCAGAGCTGGTTTGCGTTTCAGTTTTCTTCGGACTATGTTTTCAGTTTTTTTAAGGGATCTCTGAACAGTTCGAACATAAACATCAACACCTGCCTTCTATGCAATGGCTTTTGCAGTCGAAAAGCTGTTTGAAGCAATGCGCAGGATGTGCGATTTGTCTCTCTGGTCAAGGAAGGAGGTCTTCCCTATGCCCTCTTCTGTAGTCTTCACCTAGTCGTATTATCTTCGATACTGACAAAAAACTTCGTTTTATGCGTCGGGCGATATCTCGACAGCTCATTCCATCTTCATTGAGCAAGTGAATCAACCAGCGCTCCTCATCAGAAAATCTTCTTCCTTTGGGAATTTTAAAATAACTTTGAATTGCTCCAAATAAACTCACAGTAATCACTTTACTAAGGCACGGTACAGTGAATACTGAATAAACTTTTGGAGTTATAAAATAAACGTAAACAAAATGTGTGTCTATAATTCTGTCGCAGCTAAATCAAAACAATACTGTTTATTGAGATGTACATTTGTTAAGATTATCAGATCAAGCCATTTCCAGAGTTAATTTTTTTTTAATATCATGAACAATATTCTAATGGCAAAAGAAATCATTTTTGACTGTTGAAATCGTGATTTTTTAATGTGTCTATAATTTTGTCACTCGGTTGTATATATTTGTACAGACTTGAGCTAAATAAATCATAATCAGTATTTATTTATTTATTTTTACATAATGAATACTTTTTGTGAATAATTCATTTATTACAATTAAATATAACTTTGCTTTTTCCTTCCATTTAGTTACTTCCGTTGAAAACTACAATAACATAGGAATGTAATGTCAAATTCTGAACGGAATTGGTGCATTTTAAAAGAAATATCCGCAATTCGATGTATGATGCAAAATAAATCAGGCTGGGGGCATAGCTGCCAAGATAATATGCAGGGAAACACATTTTAGCATCCTAAAATCAGTCCCAAAAAGGTCAAGTCTCAAGTGAGTGCAGACACCCAAGAGTTTTTAGCTCATCGATACCTGCATGACTAAACACTTGGATAAGCTGCTTGATGACCTTCCAAATAAAAAGTTGGCTATCGGAAGACATGTAGTACAGTGTGCTAAGGGAATGCACATTTGCTTTAACCTGCAATTTATTATACTGAAACAATTTATTTGACCTAGTGTGCGTGGTTGCAACCCAATCGGACTAAACTGTCGGCCGATAGTTATCAGTGGCCCTTATACTTTCTATAACTACCTTAGATGTAGAATTAATCAGCAATTGTTCCTCTTTAGGGGATGTAATCAGCGGAACACGGCAAATTGGTTCGGCCTCCCTTTCTTTTTTCATCAGCGCCTGCTCGCAAGCTTGCGCCAACTCTGCTATGCAGTAGTATTTAGATTCTGCAAGAAGCTCAGCTGTGTCTCTGCTCGATTCCGGCAACGGTACAAGACCATCTCTTAAAAAGTTCAAAATCGCTTCAAAATGCTTTCCACACCTGTCGATTAATATCCATCCTGAAATAAATATGTGTTGTTATTAACGAACATAATTAAAAAAGAAACGGATATTAGAGTATGGTATGTAGTGTGTGATGGGTGATATGGGCGGGTCCCATCTTTGAGGTCGACCGTCCAATAGCATAAGAGATATGGTAATAAGTACCTTCAGAGTCAGTCAGGACTTCCATCCTCCCTGAGAACATAGCCCTGAGCATAGTGTCATGCTTGGTGAGCGTCCCGACGGTCGTGTAGTGCAAAGAGCCCCCGATGTTAAGTTTGACATACTGAGAAGGATTGTCCTTTATGACAGTTTTCTGGTCCCCGGACATATTCCTGCCGGGCCGCAAGTTCAAGTCCCTCGGGGTCGAGAGGCTATGAAGTTTATGATAAGCCCCTTGGACCGTGTCGCATATCAACTTTAATGTCAATGCGCCGAAGAACGCGATTCTATCAAAGTATCAATCTAGGGATGGGCGATACTGATAGTCGATGGTACCGTCTACTATCGATATAGCGTTGCTCATAAATATATCCATAGAAAGTCTATGCTACCATCTAGACGATGAATTGTCAAACTGGATCATTTTTGAAAAAATTCCTGATGGATATTATTTACATGGAAGTCTATTGCTGTCAGCCTTCAGCTAAGAAAAGCTCATTTAGCCTTCCGAAACAAACTGGGTGGGAACTTAAAACTTAGGGCACACAACAATAATCAATAAAATCATACACCAATTATTTGAAATGAGGACTGATTATATGATCCCGAAAACACTCTTTACAACATCCTATAAATTATGAACAGACTACAAAGGAGAAGAAGAATTTAGGAAAACAGCAGATACAATGATGTGGTGTACAGATAGCTCCACAGCAAACGAAGGAACCGGATCAGATTTTTGTACAAGCCCAAAACATGATCATACTCATGAGGAAAGTACATCTACGTTTTCAAGCTGAGATACATACCAACAATGCTTGTACCTTAGAAAATCTTAAAAGAGATTACACCAAAAATTCCACATAAGATCAGATAAACAATAACCTTGTGATACTTAGGTACCAGGACACAAAAGAATGTTTGGTAACAGAGGGCAGAGGAGGATCTGCAAGACCATAAATAGACCCTGTACCTTTTCTTGGCATAACAAAAACAAACACAGAATCCTCCATTACAGAACAGAACCAAAAAAGACAAAAAGAGAAGTCGATAAATTCTATAGGTGCTATACACAGTAAACTTAGGCTAAAACTTTAGGGAAGTACACCTTGGTCTTCTTCCAAACTGAAATACATGACATCAATACTTGTGCCTTAGAAAATCTTAAAAGAAATTATCCTGGTAAAAAATACACATAATATTGGATAGCCAAGCAGCTATTAAAGCATTAGCATGTAAAAATTGGTCAGTGAATGCATTCAAAACCTGGGGAAACACAACACCTGATGATATTTTGTTTACCAGGATACAAAGGAATTTTGGGTAACAAAAAATCAGATACACTGGATGGAGGAGATCTGCATGACCATATATAGGCCCCAAACCTATACTTGGGATAACAAAAGCAAACAAAAAACCTTCAATCGCAGAATGGATAAAAAAAAGACAAAAAGAGAAGTCGATAAATTCTACAGGCGCTATACAGTAAATTTAAGCTAAAACGTTAGGTTAGTTCTAGCTCTTTCAAGCTGAAAAACATGCCATCACCGTATTTTACCTTAGAAAATCTTAAAAGATGTTACACTGCCTTATAATATTGTATAGCCAAGCAATAGTTATTGAATGCATCCAAAATCTTAGTAGTAGTTATTTTATTACAAGGTAGAGCCAAGAGGCAAAATGAACTTGAACACTTAAAGATATTTATAAACTGAAATTGAACATAAAACTATGTTAACAAATTCCATTAACAACAGCATGATCCAACTAATTAAATAATAATTCAGTAATAACAAAATTTTTCATGGCGCATAAATATGAAAAATGAAAAAGTGAGAATCATTTACACCTACATACATATCTCTTTGGATTGTACAATTTTTATCTATATCAATTAAGGTGTTAGTCCATCAAAACTTTGCCATAAAACTATTGTAAATGAAATCCTTACTGAGCAATTATTGTAATTTTTTAAGAAAAGTGAAAGATAAAGTGTAAATAAGTGAAATTAAATGTAAATATTTTTTAAACTTCATCTTTCATGAATCTCTACTTTTGTTTCCTAGTTGACATTTTGTAAATGTATTTTTCTTAATCCTAAATATACACAAAATATATGTATAAAAAGACATTATAAAATATAATCTATCCAACAAAAAGCAGGCATTGTAGGTAAAACAGGAATAGTGTAGGGCCTGATACAGAACCTTGTGATACCTCTAACAAGAGCAGGCATTTTATTATTACACATAAGAGCGGGTGGAAGATATTGTATAAAAAACATTTTTTGTAGTTCACCTTCCACTAATCCAAAACGGTTTTCTTCCTCCAAGTTGATGTTTTGTAAATGTATTTTTCCTAGTAAATATACCCAAAATATATATACAAAAAGACATTATAAAATATAATCTATCCAACAAAAAGTAGGTACTGTAGGTAAAACAGGAAAAGCGTAGGGCCTGACACAGAACCTTGTGATGCCTCTAACAAGAGCAGGCGTTTTAATATTACACATAAAAGTTGGTGGAAGATATGTAAAAAACATTTTTTGTAGTTCACCTTCCACTGATACAAAAGTTTTTCTGCGTTTTTGTAAATGCATTTTTCCTAGTAAATTGTTTATAGATTCACCAATGGATAATAAAATAGAATCTATCCAATAAAAAGAAGTCTTTAAAGGTAAAACAGGAAAAGTGTAGGGCCTAACACAGAACCTTGGGAGAGCTCAACGACAGTACTGTGGATTGTTAAGTTTCAATCAATAAACAATAAATTAATTTGTAGACAAATGTTGTAAATTTATTTAATAACAAACAAAAGCAGGCGTCTTAATATCTAACATAAAAGCTAGTTGAAGATATGTAAATAGCATGCTTTGTAGTTCACCTTCCACTGACCCAAAACCTTATTTCTGCTTACATGTTCGGTGTTTTCAATGCATTTTACACAAAAAACTAAAAAGTATATGTAATTTAAATATTCCTTACTAATTATAGTGAATGTATTGTAACATATATTGTTGTTGAGTTTACAATGATAAAATGGTTACTGTATGCTTTATAACTACTGTAGAGTTGTAAACTAAGTTACTTACACGAAAAATATAATTCTTTAATAGCGAAACAATTTTTGGTTATACATTTTTATTGTTCTCATCTAGTTTGATGGAAAACATCATCAGATATTTTTGTATTATTGAAAAAATTGCCCCTTAAATGTTGTGATTAGCTGTTGTTCCGCTAGGTCATCCCTCTATAGGTACAGCGTGTGATTGTACTCTTGTGTCTCTCTGAAATTCTATTTTGCCGAACTGACATTTCTCGGTAATCAGAAAACTTCACGGGTGATTCATAGTTCGAAGTACTAGTTTCCTAATTGCTTTTAGTATCCTTTTTCTTCGGACATGCCATCTTCGGATTCTTCCAGTTCGAGAGGGCGAAAGGTGCCTTTGTAAAACTGTCGGATTCAATTCTAGATATGTCCGGGGACCAGAAGACTCTCATAAAGGGCAACCCTTCACGGTACGTCAAGCTCAATGTTGGAGGATCCCTGCACTACACGACCATAGGGACGCTCACCAAGCATGACACCATGCTCAGGGCTATGTTCTCAGGGAGGATGGAAGTCCTGACAGACTCTGAAGGTAATTTTCTGAGGGTTTGCTCTATGTTGTTTGTGTGCTTTGCTAAATTTGATTCATTCAATGAATACCCTATGCATTGCACATCAAAATCAATCATGAAGCTCTTAATGAGAAACGAAATAAGAGAAAATTCAATTCAAATTTGTATGCACTACCATTTTTTGTAAACTGTTCAGCACAGTACTACTGGGTCTGTCTATTTTTTTGTAAGTTTACTTGCGTTTCAATGAGTGTGACCTGAACCTGCAAAAGAGTGACCAAGTGCCAATAAGTTTAATGTCTTCACCAGTTCACAGATCAATAACCACCAACTAGCATGTTTTGCCCATTAATGATTTGAAGACTATGCAACCTCTTGGTTTGACCGTACTCTTTATGGTCCATGTGAAGTGCACTCTCATTTAATGGTGCGTGCACACTAAGCAAATCTTGGCCAATGATAGACATGAATTGCTTCACTGGCTGCGATTTGCTTAGGGTACAGGAGGCGAATCAGAGCCAACGAAGCAGTTGGCCTTGGTCGATGTTCGGACTTCTGGTGGTAACATCAAAAGGGTTGATGTTGGCTGTGATTCTACTTGGCAGAATCCTTTGGTTTGATGAGGATGAGCCAATGATGGGCAATGTTCGGCCCAATATATTCATTGGCCGAGATTTGTTTAGTGTGTACGCACCTTAAGAATAAATCACTTAGTGGTGAGATATCTCCAAAAAGTCTGCAGGATGATGAATCTATAATTAGGTTTGTTTCAAATCATTTTGGTCTGCTTATTCTGCTGTTTCAGTTTCCCTAGTGGTCTTCAGTATGTAAGAAGAATTTTTTTCCACGACAAGTATATTAGATTCTTTAGATTTCTTTCTGCACCAGTCCTGTTAGACCTGAACTGCAGATTCATCTCGCCAACCTTAAAGAGAAATATTCTTTCATCTTAGAGATTCTTTGTGTGTTTCACCTTTTCTGATGTTTCTATAAAACTATGTGAAGTTTTTTAGAATTTACCACTCTTGTGGTTGGTGTTCTGTGGTTCGAATTCCACAGAGCCCACAGTTTTTAATGGATTATAGTATGAAAAATTTATTGTGACGTAGTTTGATCCATCATCTGGACCCCCAACAGGTAGTTAGATGTTAAGCCCTCCTGGATGACAGGATTTACTTTACCTTTTTTAAACAATTATAATTTCTTTAGTTGTATGTCAGATGCTATGCTCTATCCCTGGTTTTGCGCTTGGTATTGATATTTTGTATTGATATGCACTTGTGTACACATATGTGCAGAACTTAGCCTATGGCTTCTTGAGGCAAGCTGCGAGAATCGTCTATTTCAGTGTTTTGGTGGTCCTGGTCAGACCTTGGTCCTTTCCTTACCACCTCTGAAGTTAGGCTCAAGGAGCTATCGATAGGATAGTAGATATTCTATCATCGATACTCTTATACTATACAAACTGATTGAGCAAAAAGATCTATATATACAGAATTTAAGGGACCCAAAGATTCGCTGCCATATCGAGAACAATTCTCAAGTCGGGTGTATTTCTATTCGCCCCCTATATGGAGCCAAGGAATGACACCCTTCAATTAAGTTGGTCACATTAAACACCTTTCTCTGCATGCAGGCCTTGGCCCAAAAGTAAGTGTCCGTGTGTCATGGCTGATTCTAAGTTGGCTTGGAATGATCTTCCTTCTGTGGTTTAGAACATCTGGGGGTCATGTACCAATCGTGCTCTTGACACACAAGAGCATCTCAGACCTTACAATTTTTTTTTTTTAATAATGGATACCAGGAACTGGAGGAATTCCCCTGAATAATACAGCTTATTGTACTAACTTCTTGGCTCCATTTTTTGTGAGCTCGCAACAATTTGAATTTGAGCCCCCAGTGTTCAGTTCCATTGAAGAAGCTCATTTATGAAGGGGGTTGGGACCACATTTAGGGTCGCTGAGATCTGATTCCGATCCACCTTCCATTGATGAGGGATGTGTCTATTTTTTTCAATTGCGGCCACTGGTCCCCTTAGGTGTCGCAAAAAAAGTCCAGAGGGACTGTGGGAATCGAACCTATAGCTGCAAGAACTACTCGCCGAGAGTCTGACACCTTAACCACTTGGCTACCGTGGTCCCCGAGATATAATTTACTATATTCTTTATTGCTTGTCTGGCGCCAGTGGGTCCGATTGAAAGGTTGGGAGTGTGAACCCTCCTTGCTTTTGCTACATTGTCATTGCGCCCTATGTATCCAGGTACCACATTTTGCACTTGGTATTTAGACTGTTGTATTTTCTTTACTGTTTGGCTAAGATAACAGTTGTCGGCTACTAACTCACATTTTCTTCTGTTCTAATGCAATTGTGATGTTTTGCCTAATAATTAAAAAAACAGCCAGGTTGTCTGTTGTTACGGTTCAGGTTGCTTTATGTATCTTAGAACTCTTTTCTCTAATTTTTCTGCTTATCTATTTATTTTTGGATAGGCTGTTCCCAGATGTACATCCCATCCTCAACAGAGGGGATGAAAAACAGGACAAACCCAGAAGGTAATTTTGATTATGCCTAATCTAAATTTCGGACGTTCATTTTTAGTCACTTCCATTTTTAGCTTTCGAGTACATCAGTATTTTTAAGCTCTTGTCAAAGTCTACTTGCATTGGAAAATATAAAAGTATGAATTTATTCCAGCGTTCGAATCCAGCAGCCTTGGATTCAAACTTGACATACTTAGAATTTTTTTTTTCAAAAACAGTCACGCTGAAAGTTCAAACAGTGCAGCATTGAGAATTGACTGTTTGCTAGTACCTAGCATTTGTGTCTGATTTTTGTTGGTTCAGATGCATTTTGGCATTTGCTGTCTTCATTGTCTGGGTGATTTTTGTGAAAGGAAGTATTAGTTTTGGATCAGATGAAAGGGGGGGTTGTGTAGGTATTAGCAATATAGTCCTGTTTGTCGATTATCATCCCGCAGACTACAGGAAGAAATCTCACAGTGTTTGGAAATATTTGACTCTTTAACACCTACAAAGTACACGGGCAATGAGAACAACCCCTTCAAATGCATCAGAAACTATGCTAAACCGACCTCCATTGGAAATACTTATACAAGGAGAGACTAGGAATAGCTCATTTAGGCTCCAGAAATGATCAAATTGGATGGAATTAAACAATACAGGCATACAACCATAATTAACAAAATCAGCACCCATTCTTAAAAATGGAGACTGACTATATGATCCCGGAAACATTCTTTACAACCTATGAAGTCTCAACGGACTATAAAGGAGAGAAAGGACACAGGAGAGCATCAGATACAATGATATGGTGTACAGATGGCTCCAAAACAAATGAAGGAACCGGATCAGGCGTTTTTTGTACAAGCCCAAAACATGAGCGATCAAATTCATTAGGGAAGTACACTTCGATCTTTCAAGCGGAAATACATGCCATCAATGCTTGTGCCCTGGCAAATATTAAAAGAGGTTACACTTGCAAAATATCCTCATAGGATCTGATAGCCAAGCATTAGCATGTAAAAGAATCATATCAAAATTAGTCAGTGAATGGATCCAAAATCTCCAAAACCTGGGGAAACACAACACCCTGATGATATCTTGGGTGCCAGGGCACAGAGGAATTTTGGGTAACGAGAAAGCAGACAGACTGGCCAGGATCTGCAAGACCATACATAGGCCCCGAACCATTACTTGGGATAGCAAAAACAAATATAGAGTCCTCTATGGAAAATGGATCCAACAAAACAAAAGGAGAAGTGGATAAACTCTTGCTGCACAAGACACAGTAAATTTATGCTACAACCCTCACCAAGACTGGGAAACTCGCAATTGGGGAGGGCTAGACTCAAAGGTGTGATTGAACTATTAACCGGTCACTGGCATCTGAGAAAACATCTACAACATGGGCATGTACAATGATGATCCCATCTGCAGATTATGTAATGAGGAGGAGGAAACAGCCACCCATATCATCTTCGAATGCAATGCTTGGCTCAATGGAGATTTAACTTAATATATAAAAAACTTAGGGAATGAAATTGTAGCAGCGACAGTTGACTAAGAAGGATTGAGTCTATTGCACTGATCTAAGTAACTAGGAAGGCTGAAGTGCCTATGGAGCACAAACCCCGCTTCCTAGTATGCCATACCATACCAACACCTAAAGTGCCATGGGACCCCCTGCATACTCACCCTCAGACCAAAATGATTTTTTGTTTAGTAACTTAGAGTAAAAATGAACGCATTGTTCTTTTGAAATCTCCTTGGTTATTCTAGGCCAGAGCAGTCCAAAACATGCGGTGAATTCCTGGGAAATGTGCTACTGTGGCCACAACGTGAACCCAACCACAACTTGTCCTTGCGGTCCTAGGCACCGCTGTGGTGTGAGAGTGAGGGTTCGCCTGTGACCGCTGGAACTTTACTTGTTAAAACAAGTTATTAGCAGATAGATTTGCCTTGTTTGATTTTTTTATTGGGTAGCTTTATTCTTCTGAATGAATTCTGCCTAAGTCGATTTGATTACTATCTGCAGTGTCTACTCTGTTATGTCTTTCACAAAATATGTATCCAAAATTCCATTAACATCATGACAAATTGCAATAATTAATGAAATTATTTTAGGCTGGATACTAATAGACAGGTGCGGTAAACATTTCGGAGCGATTCTGAACTTTTTACGGGATGGGCTGGTACCACTTCCAGAATCCAGTACCGAAACAGCTGAACTTCTCGCTGAATCCAAGTATTATTGCATATCTGAGTTGGCTCAGGCCTGTGAAAAAGCGTTAATGAAAAAAGAGAGAGAGGCTGAACCTATTTGTCGGGTACCTTTAATTACTTCCCCAAAAGAAGAACAGCTTCTTATCAACTCTACTTCAAAGGTAGTTATTATTGTTAATAAAAATACTGAAAATAATGCAATTTAATTAAATTGTCTTTTCTTTTTTAGCCAGTTGTAAAACTTCTTATCAATAGACATAACAATAAGTATTCTTATACAAGGTAATCTTAATTATTTATAATTTATTTTAAACATTCTTAACCTTTTTTTTAAATTATATTTGTGACTTTTTTAGCACCTCTGATGATAATTTGCTTAAAAACATTGAGTTGTTTGACAAATTGTCTTTGAGATTTAGCGGCCGTGTTTTATTTATCAAGGATGTGATAGGATCTAGCGAAATCTGTTGTTGGGGGTTTTATGGCCATGGTAAAAAAGTGGCAGAAGTATGTTGCACGTCGATTGTTTATGCACCGGACCGAAAGCACACGAAGGTATCAAATGTTTTTAAGTATGTAACAGCTGTTTCTATATGTTGAAATGCTTAGGTTGAGTTCCCGGAGGCAAGGATTTACGAGGAGACGTTGAACATTTTGCTCTACGAGAATCGCATCGGACCGGATCAAGAGCTGATGCAAGCCACCTCGTCAAGAGGAGCCGTGACTGGCATGTCGTCATATACGAGTGATGAAGAAGAGGACCGCCCTGGCCTCACAAGGCTCAGAATGAACAAACAAAACCCATGATTCTTTTGTAACAGTGGTAAAATTAATCTTCAATTTTTAGTGTTCACTAGCCCATATCGACTACAAGAAAATGAGCATGGCTCATTTTATTAGCCGGATGCATTTTTATGGTCTAAATAAGATATTTAAAGAGTAATATTTTTTTAAATAGGTGGAAGTTTTAATTTTTACTTCAATACTTCTGAAATCAGGAAAAATATGGATCAAACACATTATCTAGTTTAGACGAGTTTCTGGTTTTCAGAATTAACAATTCGTTTTCAAGTCAGTACTTGTACATATTTTTGCTACATAAAAACTATGTATATATAAAACTTATTTATTATAAATGTTTTGTGTGTAACTGAAGATGGAACTGAAAGTAGAAAAAGACTTAAGTTGTTGCAATGCCAAGTTTTATCCCCCTCTTACCAATTCGACAAGGTAAATGTTTTCAATCCTCTACCATTTCCTTTAATTATTTCTTGGAAAACTCTTCAATTAATATGTATTAAAAATCATTTAAAAATAAACTACACTTTTTCCCATAAATCAAAATTAATGAAGTCATTCTTTAAATTAAAATTGAAATTTATCTTTTAATTACCTTAGAAAAGTTGAAGCATGTTTTGATGCTCAAGGTTCTGCACTACATAAATTGAATGAAATATGTTATTCAATTTTTTGTTAATCTTGATGCTTTTAGTAAGAAAAATATGATTTTAATTTAAATAAAAAATATTAAATAATATAAAAATAGAATATTGTCAATTATTTGCAGTTAGGAAATTTTACCAATATGACTTTTGATTACCCCTTTTATGTTGAACCATAGTAAATAAATAATATGAGTGTATACGCTTCTACAAAATGTCGCTTGTAAGAAAATAAGACTGTACTTTGATGGCATATACTTAAGTTATAATTTAGAATTTGAACAACAATCATTGGTTTTATTATTGCTGTGATTAAATAAATGAGTTATAGTGTTTCTTTTGTTTTCCTTCTTTCCTTTCCAGGAAAAATATGTTAGGTGAACAACTAACATTTATCCTCGCAATGCCACAGAATGAAATTCTGTTGAACACTATGTGTGGTCCCAGCGGACCCTTTTCGTAGTTTTGATATGATTTAATTGATCTAAAATCATTCCAGTCACAAATTTTTCATAGACATTTTACTAAAAATAATAAATCAATTAGTTTTTAGCATTTTTTCAATATTCTTTATAACTTCACTAATTCCGTGGTCCGCTTGACCAATTATTATATTACAATTAATTAAGGTTTTTAGCTGAGATAAAAAAGTCACTGTCACGAGCGGGATTCGAACCCACAATCTTTGGCTTGATACGCCGCTGCTCTACCACTTGAGCTGTCGTGAACCCACAATCTTTGGCTTGATACGCCGCTGCTCTACCACTTGAGCTGTCGTGACCTCGATCCACTTGGACACTAACTTCTCATCTCAACCCCACCTTTTGAATTTTGAGATGGGAGGTTGGTGTCCGAGTTGTCGAGGTCACGATAGCTCAAGTGGTAGAGCAGCGGCGTATCAAACCAAAGATCGTGGGTTCGAATCCGCTCGTGCCATTGACTTTTTTATCTCAACTGATAACCTTGATTAATTGTAAGATATTGGTCAAGCGGACCACGAAATTAGTGAATTTAAAATTAGTCAAATCTCAAAATCAATATATCACACTTTTTTATTGTTATATTAAGTATAACATACTTATTTTAATTGTAAACCAAATTAAATGAGATCAGAAATTCATGAGTTAAAAAAAGACTTATGATGGTTTGAAAGAAAATTTACCAAAATAGTGGTACTTTAAGATTTAACTAATAATTTTTAAATTATTTTGCTCTATGCATTATTATGAATAAAACCAGGTAATAAGACAGATTCATTCTATCACTAAACTTTACAAAGTTTAAAATTTTTATTAAAACTTGAATTTTTGATTTCCTTTAATTTGGTTTACATTAAAATAAGTTTTATGTAATTAAAATTTATATAACAATAAAAATACATACAGTTTGAAATAAATCACAAAATAAGTTTCCAGTTATTTTTACCATTAAGTGTATTGTGTAGTGGTTAAACATGAAGAAGGGTTAATATACAAAAAATATATTTAAAAAAGGAAGAAAATTACAGAAACTCAAAATAATTAATTTTAATTTGTTTAAAAAACGTTTTTAAACAATAATAATTTTTGAAACTCCAATTCAGGTGTAAAAATTACAACTGGTAGGGAAACAATGAAAGTAAAACATTGATTAAAAAAAATTCTAAATTTTTTTCAAGTTTTGCTTTTTATTTTATTAAATTGACATTATAAAATAAAAAATTTAGTCTTCCATTACAATTTTGTAAATTTAAAGAACATTATATATATAATACATAATCATTTATGCAAATGTTTATAAGTTAAGTCATAAATAAATTACAATAAATTCTCTACAAAAGTTTTACAATAAATAAGTTTGAAAAAAGTCATTTCACCACATAGGAAATAATAATAAAAAAATAATTAGTCACATTTTTAAACAAATTTGAATTCAACTAAAAATTACATAAGGTTTAATTAAATTTTTACATGTAATAATTTACCACTTGTAAAGCTTTTCAAGATAACCAAAAGTATGTTTTGTTTTCTAATGATACTCTTTATAGTTTATGCGTTTCGAACGTTGAAATAAAAAAAGAAAAAACAAAGGGCCAAATCGATTTGGACTGATTATATAAAAATGTACCGAGCGAAACACAAAAACTAAAAAGTTCAAAACGGTCAGTCTGTTCTTTTGGGAATTATCAACTTTTAGCAACCCTAAACTTTAAAATTGGAATAGGACTCTTGGATTGGAGAAAAAAAAATTTATATAATAATTTTCACAATGACCTTTCTGAAGAACATGACAATTCTAATACAAAAACGGACATTGCAGAAGCTATTATACAATGTATTACTATTAAATTAAAACTTATAACAAAAGAAACCATTATACTACATAAACAAAATAAAATAACAATATTTTGTTGGAATAAAACATTTTTCACAAGTACTTTACTAAGAGCCAAGGTAAAGCCTGTGGTAGTCATTTGCCCCAAAGGCGGCATTACATTTGGGACATTTCCTCTGCCTCGTCTCATACCTGAAAAGAAAAATTATATAATCGGTATTTAGGTTCAGTAAGTAATTTGATCTAAATATAATTTTTTTTAAATAATAAAACTAAAACTTCAGCCTGCATACATGTGCTTGATTGACCTGTCACATACTAACTTTTAGTCTGTTGCTTATATAGCAATAAGTCTTATGTCAGTGTGCACACCCAGGTGATTCTATTGACTGATTTTAGTAGCATGAATACTACTGTGCACCCCTCAATTGCATTCGTTTGTACATTATTATTATTATTTTTTTTTTTGAGAAGTGTGATTTTTATTCAGTAATATGCTGAAATAATGTTGGGAATCTCAAAGAATTCCTCCAATTAATTAATTCTCTACACTGTAATATAAATTTTACATTGGAAATTAACAAAGATGGTTGTTTAAACTTTTTAGACCTAAAATTGTGCATAATAAACAACCTAATAGAAATAGATGTATATAGAAAACCCACAACTACACACACTATGATACCAGCGGATCATCCTAAAGACAAGGTAGACTACTTGGCAAAAAGCGGAGTTTACCAACTTAATTGTAATGATTACGATATTACATATATAGGACAAAGCGGTAGAAAAATAAAAACGAGAGTTCAAGAACACTTGTCTAAATCGAACAAATTTTCGGAATTTAAGGACCATCTAAAAGAAACAAAACATAATTTCAATTCAAATTTAAATACAACAGTGTTACATAGTTTCAACAAAGGAAGAGAACTAGATTGGTTTGAGAAATTTGAAATTAAAAAATGTAAAATTGAACATGGAGATAGATGCATTAATAATATAATACTTTTTGATCGACCTCCCATTTTAAATATGTACATAAATAATATCAAACATCTAAATAATTAAATTAATTATTTTAATTGTTATTATTTTTATAATAATTTAATAACATTGAGGTATTATTCTAATTTTTTATCTTTAATCACTAATTTTTAATTAATTTCTTACAGTATTTACCATTATAATATTTACTTGTGTTATAATTCCCACTTTTTGCACGTTCAAATTGAGCGCCATTAAAAAACCAGCATCTCATTGGAACGTCGCGTTGGCAGGGGTATCGACGGGTTCACCTTTGCAATTTGTTGAGAGACGTGGTTTTAGAAATCCTTCAACTGATGATGATGAGCTTAAGGGCTTGAAATCCGGATGTTGGAAAACGACACTGTGAGTAGGAACTATCTTTTTTAACTTATGATTTTTCCTTCTTGAAGGTGGGATAATAGGTTTTTGATCCAATCCTGTTGAAGTTCATTGGGCTCCCTAGAAATTCTTGTTTCTTTCATTTATAGATTATCTAGTTTTTTATTCAGTTTTAATTTTCATTTCTTCTTTTCCCTGTCAACGAATTCTCTCTGTTTTCTCCTAAATTCTATAATGATATTGGGGGGAATCTTTCCATATAGTTTGTTTTGTTTGGTAGCTATGTCTCTTTCAAATCCTTTAACCTGGGAATAAGCTTATATCCAGGTTCAAGATTTTCTTTTTAGAGTTTCTAGTTTTTTGATGTAAGTAGCTGTGCTCACCGGTAAAATATCTTTGTCCACTTTTAACACGTTATTAAGATAATTAGGAAAAAACATTGTTTCTTCTACATTTTATCAAGAATTCTTTGTTGAGCTGGGCGTTTAATAACTTATTATTTAGTGAAGACCATTTCTTAAAACTTGACATTAATTGTGTTCCGTGTTCCTCAGCAATCTGTCTGTAGAACATACCTCCTCCCCGATTGGCAGTGCTGGCATGTCCGTTGATATTTCCCATGATTAGAGTAACAATGTTTTCTTATATTTCGAAATATAAGAAAACATCATTATCTTTTTTTAAATAAGGATTGAACACCGCACTCACTCCACCATTCATCATTTCTGTTAGTGTTCTATATTGTAAAAATGTTGTTCTCCTATAGACAGTACCCTTGGCCATTTTATTTGTATTTTTTTTTATCGGTTCCCATAATAATTACAAATTATATTCAGCTGTATGGTCAATTGAGGATTGCATCTGAAAGTGGTCCCTTTTGGTCAGGAACCCAACCATATGGATGAGAGCCAAGCTACTTTCTCTGAAATTCTGGTGGCAGCATTCCCAGCTTGCAGCTTAGGCTGATCAAAGGGCTTGTTCTAAACACGTGGGAGATTGCCCAAAAGTAGTAGAGCCTACTGAGCTTCCCCATACTTATTACCATTACATTGACTTTTATGTATACCATTTGTTTACTATAAATTTTGTTAATATATCTATGGGGGGGGGGAAGTCGCTGTAGTAACTTTGTACCCTATGTACTTGTGCAATAATGGTAATAACCCATATATGTTTAGCAGTCATAATTGACCATATTAATTATTTCAATTAATTATTCTTTATATCTAAGGTCTTGATTGAGATGAAAAAGTTAGAGTGGGATTCGAACCCACGATCTACGGGCTCAATATGCTGCTGCTCGACCACTTGAGCACGGAAATCATGATTTCTCAGCAGCAGGATATTGAGCCGAAGGTCATGGGTTTGAATCCCGCTCTAAGTTTATCTAGAAACTTTTTTAAAATACCTTCTTTTATCGACAAAGTGGATCTAAAAAAGTTCTTTTATTGACAAGATAAACCTAGAAATTTTTCTAAAATAAGTTCTTTTATCAACGAGATTAACCTTGAAATTTTTCTAAAATACATTCTTTTAATGAATAGACAAACATAGAAATTTTTCTAAAATAAGTTCTTTTATCGACGAGATTAACCTTGAAATTTTTCTGAAATACCTTCTTTTATCGACAAAGTAAACCTAAAAATACATTCTTTTATTGACGAGATTAACCTAGAAATTTTTTTAAAATACATTCTTTTATAAGGTAAGTTTAAGTAAACCTAAAAATACGTTTTTATCAACAAGATAAACCTAAATTTTTTCTAAAATACATTCTTTTATTGACAAGATAAACCTAGAAATTTTTTAAAAATACCTTCTTTTATCGATGAGGTAACCCTAAAAATACGTTTTTATCAACGAGATAAACCTAAATTTTTTAAAATACCTTCTTTTATCGACGAGGTAAACCTAAAAAATACATTCTTTTATTGACAAGATAAACCTAGAAATTTTTAAAAAATACCTTCTTTTATCGACGAGGTAAACCTAAAAATACGTTTTTATCAACGAGATAAACCTAAATTTTTTCTATAATACGTTCTTTTTTTTGAGAAGATAAACCTAAAAATACGTTTTATCAACGAGATAAACCTTCTTTTATCGACGAGGTAAACCTAAAAATACGTTTTTATCAACGAGATAAACCTAAATTTTTTCTATAATACGTTCTTTTTTTTGAGAAGATAAACCTAAAAATACGTTTTATCAACGAGATAAACCTAAATTTTTTTCTAAAATACGTTCTTTTTTTGACAAGATAAACCTAGATATTTTTTTAAAAATACCTTCTTTTATCGACCAGATAAACCTAGAAATTTTTAAAAAATACCATCCTATATCGACGAGGTAAACCTAAAAATACATTCTTTTATCGACCAGATAAACCTAGAAATTTTTAAAAAATACCATCCTTTATCGACGAGGTAAACCTAAAAATACATTCTTTTATCAATGAGATAAGCCTAGATTTTTCTAAAATACTTTCTTTTATTGACAAGATAAACCTAGAAATTTTTTAAAATACCTTCTTTTATCAACCAGATAAACCTAGAAATTTTTTAAAAATACCTTCTTTTATCGACGAGGTAAACCTAAAAATCCATTCTTTTATCAACGAGATAAACATAATTTTTTTTCTAAAATACATTCTTTTATCGATGAGATAAACCTAGAAATTTTTCTAAATTATGATGAAGTAGAAATGAAATTAAAACTGAAATACCTAGTTTTTAGACAGTCGTAGCAAAAGACGTGGAAACATTTCGATAAGACAGCATCCTTTCTTTTGACTTTGCAAGAAGGACATGTGAGTGTTTCCTTGTACTCCCTGATCTCCTCCATCATGACTTCATCCAGCGTTCCGGCCAGTTCGATCTTCTTCATCCTCTCAGTCTTCCTCCTCAATTGCGCTATTTCCTCCTGTAATTATAAATAATAATAATTGTATAATAAAATAAGAATTGTGAATTTTTTAAAAATTAATGAACGAACCTGGAGTCTTTTGGTTTTATACGCCTCTGCTTCTAATGAACTCGTTTTCTCCGCTACAACTTGTTGTGCCTCTTTCATTTGCGCATGGTATTTTTCTGTAGCAAAACATTTTTATTGTACTTGTTTCTTTTTTTAAATATTTTATTTTTAAAAAATTACCAAGATGGAGTTTTAAATCGGCAGCTGACTGTGCACTTTCGATCGCTTTTCGTTTATGCATTTCCATCGCTTGTTGCCGAACAGCAAGTTCTTTTTCAACTGTTGCAAGAGAATTCTGCAATATCCTCTCTTTTTCTTCGAGTTTTCTCACCACGAGGTTAGTTGCATCTACTTGTGTTGATAACGTCGTTACTTGTTCTTTGAGAGCTTCCTTTTCCTCACGAGACAGCTTATGCAACTGGTTAGATTTTATTCTCTCCGACATCAGTTTAAAGTTGGCATCATCCTTCTCTCGAAGTTGTTGAATCAGCCTTGAGTTCTGCTCTTGCATATCCTCGAATGCCTGGCCGGTCACCTCCATCTCGTTTAAGAGCGCCTCCTCCTCCTGCCAACACAGCCCCTAGAATAGGTGTTGCCACTACTGACCGACAGTCCAGTAAGTCTGATCATACATTTTTAAGTATGTTCCAACAGAATCACTTTCCAATTTAAACTATCTTATATTTAATAACAGACTATATGAATAACAAGAATGAATAGTTTTCTTGCCTGCTTGTGAGTCGAGACCTGCTTCTGGAGTTGGTAGGCCTGTTCCTCGAGATGCTTGATTTTTCTGAGTGCATCTTCATCTGCCATCTTTTTACGTTCTTCTCTCTTACTTTCCTGAAGTGACGAGCAGTTTGAATATAATTTCAGGCTAGGAAACAACAAGTTTTATGTCACCTTTTTCAACTGTTGTCGCAAGTCTTCAACCTCGGCGCGTAGCTTCTTCTCTGCGGCCATGAGTTGCACCTTGTCCCTCTGCTCCTTGCTTACTCCTTTGTACATATCCAAGAGAAGTTTCATCTCTTTTTGTTCATTCACAGTCTTCCTGTAATCAATTTAAAATTAAAATTTGATAATTTTCGACAATTTCCTGACATACTTTAGTTGCGCTTTGAGATCACGAACAAGTTCAGATTCTGCAGGTTTGACTTCCTTGGCGCGATGTGCAGGTTCTCTATGTACACCAGTTTCCTTCTTTACTTCTTTTTTAATGACAGCACCACCCGGTGCAGCAACAGTACCCTCTTTCTTTACAATTGGCGAGCTTCCTGATTTATCCTTGTCGCTATTCTCATCCACCTGGGGGGTATGGCAATTCTAAACTTTCAAGTTTTAATAAATCCATGAATTCTAATTAACTTACAGTGGCATCGACTTCATCTTCGGAGACTTCTTTTTTTATGGTGGTGGGTTCTTCCTTGATCTTCAATCCTTCGCCATTATGACTTCCTTCTTCTTCTTTACACTCGACGATTCCTTCTTTTCCTTCTTGAATCACACCAGGATTACTGTTTAGCTTATTTTGAAGATCCTCAATTTCTTTCTTGAACTATAAACCAGGAATTTTTTACCGAGTTCAGGTTTGAGCATAAGCCTACTTACTTTAGGTATTTCTGCATTTGAGTCTTTGTATTTTCTTTTGTACCGATGCACCTCCCCTTTGAGCTGTTGATTATGGTTTTGCAGGGATGTTATCAAATGCCTCATCTCCCTGTTGATCGGGCCGGTCTGTTCATTGGCGGCGTAGTTCTGCTCGAATTCAATCCTGAGCATCTCGTACTCCTTTCTGACCTGGGCCAGGTGGTCTTCGAGTTGAATTACCTCCGTCCTCAGTTTTTTCTGACCCATCAACTCCTCACTTTCCATCATCTCAATTTGTCTCAGATGGGCGTTTTTAGAAGTCGCAAGTTGGTGTCTAACTTCATCCAGCTGGGTTTTAAGCTGCATCGATTCATTGTACAAAACTGAAAATTGAGATTGGAGACACTTGTATTCGGTCGTTTCCACAATAACACTTTCTGGCAATTGGCGGATCTATATTTAATCGACATAAAAAAATTAACATTACACGTACATAATTTTAGGAAGAAAATTAACTTTTAGAAAACCAAATAACATACATCCATCTTTAGTTTTTCCACTTCTTTTAAGGTTTCCCTATGCTGTTGATGAAGTCGGTCTAACTCGGTCAAACGGTTATTCGCCAATTCCCTAGTTTCCTCTAATTCCTTTTGAAGTTCCTCCACCTAATAAACAAGTTTCTGTCAGGAAAAAGTATCTAGTGATAATTACAAACTATACACACCCGTCCCTCAATTTACATGACACTTTTTTATGCAAGTATTCGTTTTATGTGAAATTTATTTACAAGGCCAGATACATATTTTCCTGTAAGTTTTAAAACTGACAACTTTTTTATACAGTCAGTATACATGTGGCGGATAAAGAACTCAGGCTCAATTTACAGAATTTTTATTCGCATAACTTAAATCCACGTGGGACGGATATTCACGTAAATTGAAGAACGGGTGTATTAAAATAGTTACCTTTCTCTGAGAAACGTTAGAAACAGGAGAAGGCTTTGTTATTCCTTTTTCTTCACCTTGTATTTGCTGGTAGTTCTTTAGTTTTTCAATCGCCTCTGCAAGGTGATGCTCTAATTTGTCATTTCGAGCTTGGATTTTGTTCAATTCATATTGCTGGTCATCTATCTGGTTTCTAAGTTCAGCAGCTTCCGTTTCCCGTCCTGCCACAGTATCTTGCAACTCTGCCATCTAAATATTACACAAATTGAAGTCGACACATGTTTTTTTCTTAATTTTGGTAATACATACTTTAAGGGAAATGGTATGATATTTTTTATGGAGAGACGTGTTAAGCGCTTGCAAATTACGATTCTCTGCTTGGATCTCGATATTCGCCTGGCGGATAACTTCATCCATAACTGGGGCCTCATCTAAAAATGCATAAATATAAGTCTTATGTCTAAGAAAAGCCTGAATGCTTAGGAAAAATTGTATCACCTCCACTTTCGAGTTCCCCTTTGAGAGCCAGCGTGATTTTTTCATTTCTCTGCATAAGCCTATCAAACGCTTGGATTACTTTCGCTACAGCCCTTTTTGAGACTTGCACTCGGTTGGCGAGTTTGTCGTCAAGCTCTTCCTTATCCCAAGTCGACAGTTGTAAAAGAAACGAAGTCGTTGCTTCGCTTTCGTCTAATCAAATCGCACAATTTATTCCAAATCGATTAAAATAGTAATTCAAAACTTACTTTTATTTTCTGATTCATCAGCCGTTTCAGCATCAAATCTCTGGAGTAAGACTCTGATGTCCTCATTCAACTGGTTCCAGTACCGGTTTACAACATTGAGCACTGCATCATCCTGAGTCTGGCGTTTTTCCAACTGCTCAATCCTCTGCCTGAGTTCTGCTTCAACTCGATGCCTTTGTTCTAACCTCTAACAAAAAAATAAATATTAACTCTTTCATATTGATTAACTCTAATTTGATAAAGATGATGGGGAAAAAACACAATTGTGAGATTTCTCTGAGTAGTCTGCAGAGTGGTGAACCTGTAATCTGGTCTTAATTTAAAGCAAAAACGTTTAATTGAATGTGATGCTTAGTTATCTTAAGTGCTTAATTGTATATATATATGTAGATTTGGAGTGAAGTGGGATCTGGCATTCATGGCTAAGCAGGTGCTTTTTTTTCTCTGAATTTGTTCAGTAAGTACAGGGTGTGGATTAACATTTTTGGTGACAAGTTATCTTGTTTGGGCTTGAAGGATCCCCCGTACTCATGAAGAGTTATTGTTTTTTTCTTATTTTTTAATTTAAATTTAAATGGCTCTAGTTGGACACCCATGGCATCAAATGAGCTGAGGTTGTAGGGTAGCAGACATCTCGGTAGTTGATGCCACCCACACCCTTACTTTCCTGCCATCATCGAACCACTTGTTTCTCCCTTTTCAAAACCTGGTCTCCTTTTAAAGTTTTGGAAAAATTGCAACACATTTTTCAAAAACCATTTGGCCACAATATCTTCGTCTCATTGGGAATGTCTTATTTTCGTACCTGTGCCCTACCTACTTGTTGGGTTTATGAATGAGGGGGGGTGTCAAACCACATTTTTTGTTTCAATGTGGCCTAGTGCCTGGTGTTCTTATTTAAATAATTTTCTGTGACTAGTGCTGAGAACTTATTCAAAAAACTTCAAACAGCAGGACATTAACTGTGAACTTTGTAGTGGTATATTATGCAGTGTGGGCGACCAAGACCCGAGGGGTTAAATGCTTGGGTAGACTCGTACCCCATCCCTAAAAGGTCCGGGACTTGGTCGGCATAAACCTCTTGGACCTGTTCACAAACCCCAAGATTTTGGACCATTTAATCTTGGGGAGTGATTTGGTGATGTCCTCTCCTTCAAAGATTTCAAATCTAGACCTAGCATACCTATCACACTCTGCGAGGTAGTTCCTTGCAGTTTCTTCTTTTATTTCGCAGAAGCGGCAAAAGGGATCTGGTAGGATACCCATTACGAAGAGGTGTCTTCTCAGTGGGCAGTGGCCCGTCAGAATACCTATCAGCCTCCTAATTCCCTTCCTTGAGATAGAGAATAGCCATTTCGATTCTGCTGGTTTGATTGCCTTAACAAACTCTTTCGATTGTCTGTGTCCGGGGGATAAATTCCACTCCCTAAGGAATTGTTTCATGCCCCAGCTATTGATACTCTCTTTCGCTGTGCTCATAGAGTGAGGTAATACCGGTTGTGGTCCAACAAACGCAGTATTAGAACCTTCTTTGACCAGGCCATCCGCCTTTTCATTGCCATGGTGTCCTTTATGTGCTGGTATCCAAATAAGGGTCACCTTATTCTCAAAACTGAAAGAGATCCTATTGATAAGATCTATAGTTTCCTCCACCAGTCGTGAGGTTGACAAATCTTTTTTAATGACCTAAGACTAGCCTTACTGACAGAAAAAATTCTAATATCTTTTCCCTTAATTTTATTTTCCATAAGTGTTCTACAACACACATTGATGGCCCAGATTTCCGCCTGAAAAACGGAGGTGTTATTGCCAAGAGGGGAGGAGATGCTGATTCCTAATTTTAGTATGTAGATTCCTGCACCACTCCCTCTTACTTTGATAATTGATCCATCTGTGTAGCAGTCTATGTTGCGATGGTCATCATCCAGACTATAATTATAATCACAAGGGGTGACTACCTGAAAGCGCTTTTTCCCCGAAGGGGTTTTAATCTTTTTATAACTAACGCTTAGTAATTGACCGTTAACCTTACTCAATAGTTGTGAGATTTTCGAGTGACCTATGTTATTGCACTTATGATTCCAGCTGCCCTCGCTAATTAATCTGTAGCAGCTGATTAGTGCTCTGACCTTAACCTCAATGTGAAGAGGTGTAGTATTGGTTTTGATTTCAAGTGCTAGGGTGGGTGTAGTTGAAAATGCTCCTGCCATCATCAAACAACCTAGTCTTTGAAATGACCTTAATTTATTACTATTCCCTTTGTTTTCTAGACCTTTCCACCGTACTAAAGCTGCGAAAAAGAATCTAGGTAGAATAGTTGCAGTATATAGCCATTTGGCCACCCATGGTTTGATGCCCCATGTTTTACCGACAATTCTCCTACATTGTACCATTGATATAGTGCCTTTCCTGTATATGTTATTAATATGATCTTTCCAATCAAATTTCCTGACAAGATGTGTGGTGATTAGTGACCGTTAATCGATATTTATTTAGAANATGATCTCAATAAAGATCGAAACGTTGGCACGATAAAGAAAATGTTTTTCTGAAACCTACATCACACCAGACCGCATCTCACGATTTCTAAATAAATTTCCTGTCAAGTGTCACACCAAGGAATTTGATGGAATCCACTAACTTTAATTCTATGCCCTGAAATTTTGGGTTTTTAAAATTACCTAATGTTCTTCTCCTGCTAAACATTATCAATTCTAGTTTAGCAGGATTAATTGATAAACTTCTTTGTAGTGGTACAGAGTGAGAGGGTTTGTTCTATTTCTTGGTAACTTGCCCTGTACTGGCCACTGTCAGGAAACAATATTTTGGCAAAGAAGCTCTGTCTAATGAGATCCTGCTAGAATATATTAATGGCAAGGATTGGACTGTGTTGGCTGATTTCTGCAAAGAGGCCAGGATCAGAGGCACCTGGTGAGGGGGGAAGCGGCTTCTCTTGGTGGATTCCCCTGAATAGTGAAAAGCTCATCCTCGACTTAAATATTGTATCATAACATTTATTATTTGTTTTAACTATTATCTCTTGTAGTATATAATGTACTTCATTATTATTTGCTTTCACTTTTATTATTCCCATTTACTTTATTTTAGTTTATTTTATTGATTGAGTTATGTGTATTATAGGTACTCATAAATAAGTGATGTATATATTTGCATTTATATTTCAGCTATTATTATTGAATTGTTATATTATTACATTACTGAAATTTTTGAAGAAAGAATATATTCTTTTTGTAAATACTAATTATAATTACTTGTAAATACTCAGAAGAGAGATTTTAGTTATTTAAGATTATGTGCTAGACTCCCTCAGATGGTTTTAAACATGAGGAACTCTTTGTTGTTTTGTAAGATATATTGCTGATTGTAAACTTTGTATATATTAAAGAATAAAGACATGTAATAGTAGTGGTTGGAAAAATCGTTGAGGTACTTCATCAAGTTTGCCTTCTTGTACTCCAAAATAATGCTATATTTAGAAACTCGTGTTGATCCCTTATTTCTGCACACTTAAAGCCCCATTTTAAATATGTATACAAAACCCTAAAAATTCCTGGTCACCGTTATACGAAAATTACAGCTCAGCAGATAATAAATAAAAATATTTTTTGTTTCCTTGCCAGATAGATATCAACCTTCGTTCCGATTCTCTCGAGACATTTTTGAATGGATGGCAGAATTCCAGTGCATTCTTTTCAATATAAGGTCTAGCAATAACAAGAGGTTTTTGGAGCGAACGCTGACAACAGAGAAGTTTCTTTTGTACAAAAGGCTTGACCGAAATTTCAATGTGTTCTGCTTGACGAATGAGAAACATGGAAGAACACTAAAACTAATGGATCTCTGCTGGCTCTTCAAACTCCAAGGAGAACTTCCGTTCCTTAATTCTACCCCCTTGATAGGCTACCAGAGGGATTCAGAAATGTGTCCTCTGCGCAATACAAGGGAAAAGGAAACCAACGTCCACTTTTTGGCTAAATGTACCATTTTGTCCGAGATGCGTGCTTCTTATTTGGGTAGTGCTATGCTCTCGGAAGAAAGACGAGTCAAACTATTTACTATTTTTAAATGAGCCAAGCCTGCAGCTAATAAAATTTACTCGTCACACCTGGTTTTCCTGCTAGGAGCTGGTACAAAAGTTCAATTTTTGATTTATTAGAATAAATTTGATATATTGGAAGAAAAACTTAATTAATGGTATATTGGGAGAACAACAATGGTTGGCGACTTCCCTCAAGACTATACAGTGTATAATATAAATAACTTCACTAGTTTCGTGGTCTGCTTGACCAATTAATATCTTACAATTAATTAAGGTTTTCAGTTGAGATAAAAAAGTCAATGGCATGAGCGGGATTCGAACCCACGATCTTCGGCTTGATACGCCGCTGCTCTACCACTTGAGCCATCGTGACCCCGATCCATTCGGACACCAACCTCCCATCTCAATCACAGTATACTTCACTAAAGCTCTCCGGGGCCATTTCATTTGTCGCCGAGAATCAAATTGATTACACGACATTTGAAAAATGGCAAAAAGGAGGGAAAATTCAAAAGGTGTGGTTGAGATGGGAGGTTGGTGTCTGAGTAGATCAGGGTCACAATGGCTCCAGTGGTAGAGCAGCGGCGTAACAAGCCGAAGATCATGGGTTCGAATCCCGCTCATGCCATTGACTTTTTATCTCAACTGAAAACCTTAATTAATTGTATGTAAATAACCTCAAATTAAAAGATGTATTAATAGGTAGTAAAAAAAGACAAAAAGGTAAATAAATCTTATACCTTTATTAATACATCTTGTAATTTGAGGTTATTTACATATTTACATTATGCACTGTATAGTCTTGAGGGGAGTTGCCAACCATTATTGGTCTTCCAATATACCATATATTTGTTTAAAATTAATTAATTTTTTTGGTTTTTGTTTTCTTCTTCTTTCTAATTATGTTATAAAACACAGGGAATATTATTATATGGGCAATTTTATTATCTTTTTTCAATATTTTATCAGTAATCTTGACTCCTAGCAGACGGATATTCCATTGCTGTAAATACTTTTTTTTTTCAAAGGGTATATTTTATTATTTATAATAATTGTCAAATAAAGTGTTATTGTTATTATCACTACATAGAAGCACCAGAGGAATATAACGAAGAAAAGGTGCAAATGATAAAGATGGGCAGTGGCTCAATTTAGATTAATAGTATGCTTTTTCTTCGCGCTATGAAAAATATTTTGTATAATCGAATGTATTAAAAATGCACAGAATTTTTTTCGTCTTAACAAATTGACCTGCTGAGGAGTTTGTATTAACAAGAGTCAAATGTATTTTATTCTTGCAATTTGCATTTATGTAGACAGATAAACTGAGGATATCTAGTCTTTAAGACTAAGTTTCTGATAATTTAGAGGTGGAGTTTAACAGTTCTCTTAATAATTAGTTGGATTTCTGCTGGGTCTGTGAGTCGGTGAACTCAGCTTGTACTTGGCATTGGGTCCGACTCCACTCACAGGTTTTTTGAACTACTCAAACACGTTTCGGCATCGTGCCATCTTCTGGAAATGCAAAATTTGAGCAGTTCAACAAACTAGCGAGTGAAGACGGACCCAATAGATGACTCAATGCAGGTCCGACATGAATTTGTACGGCTGTTTTCAATGGATAAATTACTGATTTTTAATTCTCACGGATGAAACATCCCCGCCGTTGTTACCTGTGCTAGTTTTTTATTTTGAAATTGTAGGACTTTGATGTCCATCTCCTCGAGGGTGGAGATGGGTCCGATCCTGACCGGCTCGAACTGCACCTTCTTCTGTGGCGGCTGGCCACCGTTGCCGCTCTCTCCGTCTGCTGGCCTCTTGGACATTTTCCTCCTATCGCATCAACAAACACCTGGTCGGACAAAACGCAAATCTTTATTATGGGAAGGCGTCACGGATCAGCATACTCACATAAACAAATAAAGAGCATTAACAACAAACAAACATTGCTCGGGGGGGAAAAACTGGAAAGGTTACTTCAGCTGATCAGCATAGAAAACAAATACAGATTTTTTAAAATAATTTTTAACGGCCTTTTTGTTCGGATTTGAGGAGTCGGGGATTTAAAAAGTTTCAAAACGGCACAATTGAAGTGGGTAATAAGGTAAATAAATAAAAAAGTGAGAGAAACGGGTAGAGTAAAACTGGAAATATTTTCTCCCTAGAACGGCTCGTTATTTATACCTTTTTTTTCTTTTCGGCTTCGTTTCGAACGGTTGGAAAAAGGCAAAATTTTTTAACTGGATCGTGAAGGGCCCAAGCTGGGAAAAACTGTACGACAAGGATGCCTTTTGAGCGCCATTGCCGATAGAAGGGGTGAAGCGGCGAAGCGTAGAGGTCTCTGACTCCGTGCTACGAAGTGCCAAGCCAAAAGCCGGCTACGGCCTGACGAAAATGAACCTACAAAAGTGACAGAGTGAAAGCGAGAAAAAAAAAGGCCTTTCCAGGACGTCGAGTCGAATCGAGAAACTATAAATCTTTCAAAATTATCCGGGAGATATGACAATTTTTTGAAATATTTCGCTTAATAAGCCTTGGCCGAAAACGGCTCCAAAGCCCCGCCCTTCTTGTTGCTGTATCATAAAATATTCCCTACTTAGAATTGACTTAAGAGTAAATTGTGATGACTCAATTACTTTTTAATGAAAGGTTTTATCACAAAAATAAATATTTTGTTGTATAATTGATATATACGGGAAATTGGAGGAATTTGGAAAACTGCAATGTCAAAAATGTAATTAAAGAAAAACTATGACAAAAACAATCGTAGGAAATATTTAAAAAAAGGAACTCAAGCACTTGTTTCGATATTTTGTGTAAAACATCAGAGTGGAGGTAAAAAAAAAAGGTTTTTTGAAATAGTTTCGTGTGAAGTTTGATATTTGATTAAAATTGTCATCCAATTGTGATTATTTTGACAAAAGTAAGAGCATTTTTCGATTTAATTAATTTTTAATGAAAAATGCTTGTGCGATAAAAATGGATTAGCCGGCAAAAAAAGAAGAAAAAAAACACGGGGCATCCACGAGTCGCGTCGTAGAACGTTGCCAACCGAAAAAAAAGAAAGCGACTTGATCGAAATTCCGAGTCGAAAATTAAACAATTAAAAAGTCGAATCTTGTTAATTTCCGTGGAAATACATTCGAGGATAGCAATTTTGTGGGAATTATTTGATTCAGAGGGATGTTCGTACGGTTTGTCGGGATCGGTGAAAATTGGATTTTTCAATTTATTCCTTTTTAAGCGTGAATTAAATCGTTTTAATAAAGGTCTCGAGGTATTTGAAGTTTGATCTTTTGATTGTTGTTTGATATCCTATGAAAAAGGATCTGTGGGTCGGCCGTGGAGAAGGTTGTCGCACTTGGCGATTTCGTAGCTTTTATTTCTAGTTAGCGTAAAAGCCCAACTCGAGACGAGAGTCCGGTCTCGTATTTAGTGTGTACACACGGAATTGTACGAGGGGCTTTGCGTGGGGGTTGGAAGTGAAAGTCTCGGAAGGGTTCTGCGAGTGTAGTGCACGCGGCAGACTCCGGCCGCTTTTATACGTTGAACAAGTGAGTCGTTTTTTTATATAGTTTAGACGTTGTGAAAGCCGTTGGGATGGCGGACAACGACGAACTGGGTTCCGACGTGATGGAGGCGTTGGAGAACGGCGAAGAGGCGGTCGGTGAGAACGGCGACGCGGAGGCGGCCGGCGGCCAGGTGGACGACCAGGAGTTGGAGGCGATCAAGGCGCGGGTCCGGGAGATGGAAGAGGAGGCGGAGAAGCTGAAGCAGATGCAGACGGAGGTGGACAAACAGATGAATCTCGGGAGCCCGCCCGCGACCGGGGCCGCCGGGCTCAACCTCTCCTACGACGAGAAGGTCGAAGTGGACAACCGGTCCATCTACGTCGGCAACGTGGACTACGGAGCGACCGCCGAGGAGCTCGAGTCACACTTTCACGGATGCGGCTCCATCGTCCGGGTCACCATCCTCTGCAACAAGTTCAACGGCCATCCCAAGGGGTTCGCCTACATCGAGTTCGCCGACAAGGACTCCGTCCAGACGGCCATGGCCATGGACGAATCCCTCTTCCGCGGACGGCAGATCAAGGTGAATCCCAAGAGGACCAACCGACCCGGGCTCAGCACCACCAACAGAGGGTTCAGAGGCCGAGGACGCAGCAGATTCGCAAGAGGGGCCTATTACGGATACCGGGTGTCGAGAAGCGCCAGAGCATACCGCCGTCCGTTCTATGCGCCATACTGATTTATAATATAATACATTTAATTTCAACCTTATCATTAATTAAAGGTATAGTTAAGTTAGAATGTTGCAAATCCTTCATGTTGTAGAATCTTGATTCGAGTCTACGTCGCAGATTTTTTGTGTTCGCAGGAAAGCTGATCAAAAACATTTTTCTTTTTCCTTCATTTCATCAAATACTATCAACTGCCTGTCTTTTTTTAAAAAATAAATATTAACAAAAAGGTTGAAAATTTTTTTTTTAATAGCAATTGTTAGAACAACTACAAAAAAAGAGTGTACTAAAAGTGCTACTTTCATCGAGGATCTTGAACCCTCTCAAATAAAATGTCATTATTAATAAAAAATGATTTAAAGAAATGTAAACTTTTTTTATTTTTCAATAATCTTTGTTAAGATGAATAATTATAGCAGGCTCAAAATATCACCTTGCGAGAGGCGATTTTTTAACGACTACCCTACCATGACAGGTTATATAAAAAAAGAAAAAATATCACATTTTGGATTTACATCTTTTAAAATCTGGCGTTTGGTCTACGAAATCAGAATTTATTTAAAAAATAATAATTTTCAATTACATTTGAGAGAAAATGTAAATATTGTATTTTATACTAGAGTACAAAACTTAGGGAGTAATTGGTTTTTCGGGTTTTATTCGAGCACGACAAAATTGTATCAATACTGACACTCACAATAAAATAGACTCAGTTCATCGTACGATAAGTAAAAAGAAAAAAAACCCTCTTTTGTTTTTAATCGGTGGTTATTAGTTTACAATTTTAACCCTGTAAAGGTGTCAGAAATATTTTAAAAAACCATCGGTGTTAAGAACAAAAGAGTTTAAAAGTACAGAATATCTTAGCAAAATTGATGTATTAAATTTTTTTAAATGTACAGCACTGTATTTTAATTCTTTAAATTTTACATTTGACTGTAAAAAAAAAAAACAAGTAATTAATAACTTCATTCTGTATTTTGGTTGTAAGTTTGGATCCATTTTTAAATTTTTGTCAACTTGCGAGAAAGAAAAAATGTAAATATATTTTTTTTTAAACCAGTCTTAAAATTTTAGGATTTTTGTTTTCAATTTTTATTTAATAACCTCAGAAAATTGCATCAAAATTTTGTTGAACTTCAACACATTCCTTGAGATGAACTTTTAATTTAATAGAAAGCGTTGTTAAAAAAATTACAATAAATGAAATGAACCAGTTTTTGATGTATTACATGAAAAAGATAATAAAAAAAAAAAAAATCATATTTACAATAAAAAAGGGTCTTATTTTCTCTCCACTTGAAAAATAAAAAAATGAAAACCTCCAGGGGTTAACCGCTCGATTTTCATTTTTTAAAAAAAATCAGGCCAGCATTCTATTGAGTCAATACCGATATTCTAACTTAACTGTGCCTAGTCTGTGATAAGGTTGAAAATAGGTGTGTTTTTATAAAGCGGCATGGCCTGTGGAACAGGCGGTGGTATGCCCTGGCCCTTCTCCACATGCTGCGGAGAACGAGCGACGATGTTAGGCTTACCGCTATCCGTTCTACGCCCCCACCCCACACTCTGTAATTTTATTCTTTATGACCTTATCATTTTAGAATTTGTAGTTAAGTTAGAATGTTGTCCTTTTTGTATTAGAGACGCTGACTTGAAATTTGTTGTTTTTTTCTCTGTTTGTAATGGTTGTGCCATGGGTGATATACAATGGGCACTGTTTTTTTTTTTTTTTTCACTTTTCAGCTCTGACATAATGCACGAAAGGATTTACTAGAATTTACCCTAACACTATTTTGGATTTAAGGTGAAACTTTTTCTTTTTTCTTTCTTTTATATAATTGAAAACAGCTGATTATAAAATTTTTCCAGCATTCATTCTTGGTTCTATTTTATTGTTTTATGTTCATTTTTTTTCACTTACATTTTCAGTTTTGTCTACTAAATAAAAAGTTCCTTTAATCAGTTCTGTTCATAAGAAGGTCAATTTTTATTCTACTGTACTCAACAAGCAAAAATTATATCAATATATTAAAATTTATGTACATTTTCTTATTTTACAATGTGTAAAATGTAAGGCAAAATAAAATTAGGGCTTAGAATTTTTTTCTGTTTGAAACAATTAATTGAGCATCTTTTATAAAAAAAAACTTATTATATCGATAAAATTGCTTTGTTTAAAAATTTTACTAATTGTGGTAAGGAACTAATTGAATTTAAAAAACTGCTTTTTTTACTGTGAGGTAGTAGATAATTTATGAGACTAAATATTTATTGCTTTAAAAAAATATTTAGGCGAATACATGTTTCAAATTTAAACTAACCCTCTAGCGGATTGATATTTCTTTTATTCCTGTATGTATAGAAGTGCTTAACACAGTTACAACAAGAAAAAAAAGTGGAAATTATTTTATTATTGATAATAGCACATTTGTAAAATATTACTTAAGTGAATGTAATTTTTCTTTTAAATATTAGAATCAATTTAGTGTTTCAATAATGCTTGAGTTGTTGGAAAGTCATTCTGTTTGAAATCTGTTTCGGAATCTTTATAAATATTCAATTTTGGTTGTATTCCTCATATAGAATAAAAACAGATACTTTTTCTCACTGATTTCATCTCCAAACAATCGCATTGGACATTTTCAATGCGCAGGTTTTTGGTTTACCAGATACGCAAATGTTTGCAAACTTTCTACTGCTACTCGGGATGTTTTATATGAAAAAAAAAAATATATATATATATATATATATATATATATATTAATTTCCATGATGGCATCTAAAAGGTGGAGTGCAGTGGTTCTTCAGTTTGAAAGTAAAAATAAAGGTTACTGAAGACAAATTAAATATTGTGGCTCAAAGTAGATCATTCTTACATTGGGAAAAACGTCTAGTTTTAGGACGCCCACAATTGGTTTTATTGCTCAGCGTCTTCATGCAAGGGAGGAACATTGTAGCTGAGTTGTAGATCTTGAAGCTGGAGGCCCTCTTATGATGATGAACCTGTGGACTTACCTGACCAACTTTCAATTTGACTTACTTAGGTTCTGACTTTGTCTCGGATTCATGATATCTACACTTGATTCCATGTAAATTGACTCAGGTATTGACTGATGGTCTTTGGTACTTTGGTACATGCGAGTGTAGTATATCCTGTACACATATTATGGTTCAGACAGGAATGATGTTATCCTTAATGATGAGGCTGTATATGTGCCCTTGGGTGGTGAGGACTAGCCTTATGATATTTGGGTGGAGTGGCTGTTTAAGCTTTGGACAAGGGCATGGACCTCAGAGTGCTGTTTATTAAATTTATGCTGTTAATTTAATAATTATTCAGTGGGGGTGTCAGTGGACGCAATGGTTTAGGGGTTGACATGGTGCTCACCACTGTAAGGTAAAGGTCCCATGTTCGAATCCTGCGGCCCTGCATTCAAACCCGACATACTTACAAATGGCCTTTTTTTTCAAAAACACCAGCACCCTGAGTGTTTATATGACCTCTGCTTTGGAAGCCCTCGTAAAAACTAAGAAAGAAAAAAATTCTTCAGTGCTTACAAAAATAGGCGGATGGTAATTAAAATATGACAAAAAAAATAGTGTTCTCATGTTTGAGCTACTGGGTTCTCACATTGGCAACTACGTTTGTCATGACCTGATGATCCTATGTGTACAAAGAGTAGGGTGTCCAGTCTAAAACCAACTTTTATATATATTGCAAATTTTTTTTTTACATTATTCACCTAATGTCGACATGTCTGCAGCTTGTGAATTGTCAGATATCTTCAAAACCTAAAAAATCATTAATTTGCTACACTTAAAAATTTTGGACCATTTGTTGACACCCCAAAATTCCCAAAGCACTAGTAATGAACACATCTTGGTATGAGTAGCAGACCAAAGAAACATAGATGAAATATCTTACTTTATTCTAAAAAGTATTAGTTATTATTATTATTAGCATTATATTATTAGCATCTGAAAAATTATGCTGGCTAATATTGGCACAAAATTGTAATGAACAAGTTCAATTAAAAAGTAGAACATTACCTAAGATTTGCACCTAGGTGCTATTGTAGACAGGTTATTAGGCAATTATCATCTTCAACAATGATAGCGTCTTAAACCATTTTTTTTCCTCTTCCATCTTAGACTGACTGTTTCTTTTTCTACTTTTTATCCATTTTTTTTTAAAAACTGTTCTTGCCAATATGTGAACAACTGATGGCAGCATAACCTAACCTTTTTGTGAAACTAGGTAGCTGTCATCCCACCCAGAAGGGTATTATTTGTAGTCAAGTCTCAATTGAATACCAATGGTACACTGTCTGTTACTAGATTCCCTAGCCTACTTTATTTTTAACTTGACCTGTTTGGATGAATAAATTTCTCACAATTGTCTGAACTCTGGATTTCATGTGGTGAAATACCTTTTGGCATTGCTTCTATTTTCTGTTTTCTGCCACTTACAATTGCATTCTCTGGGCAAAGTCCTGTGAAATGGATATTAGGATAGATGTTTCTGTTAATTCGTTGCTTCCCACTGCCCAAAAGGCTTTAAACACAAGTTAAGCTAAGTTTAGCCTGAAAGATAGTTGAACTAAATCATGGACATCCAAGTGCTATGATTGCATTGCTAATACTATTTTGCTCCGCTCACTCTTTGGTTGAGAGGCCAACTCGCCTTTCTAAAGCAGTTTTGAATCTTAGAACACACTAGATGCATACGTCAAAATGAAAATGGGACACAGTCCTTCAGTTGAAACTGTTTGAGAGTAGGTGGATGACGCTTTAATCCATGGTTGAGAATCATATACCTAAACTGTTCTACTTACAACTCAGAGAACTTCAGTAGAATCTTGCTAGTCCAAATTGATTAGTGCAGAAGCAAGCTGTAAAACAGGATACAAGTGTACATTGAAAAATAGGATGTAAGTTTTGAAAAAGCAGGGTGAAAAAAATGTAGTTAAGTTGTTTTGGATCACCTTGGCCTACATACAATTGCAGTTTTGGCTTATTGTTATCTCTAGTTTTTAATTATGAGTTTGGTTAAAACCAAATTGAAGATTATGACAAGTGAAGTGGGTAACACAAACTAAAACAAGAATATGAATCCAAAATGTTTGTAAAGGACCAAACTACATGTTCATCGCCACGCAGAAATATCAATTTTTGGATGAAAGTACAGCGAAAAATCGGCAGAAGAGTTGGGAGTGGGCAAAGACTAATTAAATCACAATTAATACTACACAGAAAACTATATTTTCGAAAAAAATAATTTCCTCATACTGGAAACATATTTGAATAAATCCGGCTGTAATTGAAGTTTCCTCCACAATTGGACACTGGAGCATAGAGATTATTTTAAAAAAATAAGGACCCATAATATAATGGCATAATGGTCTTGCATTAATCAGGGATAACTAGAGAAAAAACTTTATTCTGGAACGGGGTCCCTTAAGAATAACAATGTCACAAATTTTTTTACAAATCTGGCGCTTTTAATTAAAAAATTATCCTTATCATATAGAGGAATAAAATGAAATACATAAAATGGAAATATTAGTAGTAATGATAAGAATTTAGAGAAAAAAATAAATAAACGAATTTCCTGTCTTTGGGCACTTAATCGTAAAATGTGAACTTAAAAGTTGAGAAAAATAAAAATAAAATAAGCTTTTTTATTATAGTAAAAGGACCTAATAATATTGTTGGACTGTTTTCTATTCAATTCACTATTTTTTGTGGTCCGCTTGACCAATTAATATCATCCAATTAATTAAGGTTTTTAGTTGAGATAAAAAAGTCAGTGTGACGAGTGGGATTCGAACCCACAACCTTTGGCTTGATATGCCGCTACTCTACCACCTTGAGCTATCGTGACCTCGATCCACTTGGGCACTAACTTCCCATCTCAACCCCACCTTTTTTTAATTTTCCCTCCTTTTTGCCATTTTTCAAATGCTGTGTAATCTATTTGATTCTCGGCGACAAATGAAATGGCCATGGAGAGCTTTAGTGAAGTATACTTCATTTTAATTCATTAAATTCACTATTTTTTTTTTTGAAAAATGGCAAAAAGAGGGAAAATTCAAAAGGTGTGGTTGAGATGGGAAGCCCGAGTAGATCGAAGTCATGATAGCTCAAGTGGTAGAGCAGCGGCCGAAGGTCGTGGGTTCGAATCCCGCTCGTGACACTGACTTTTTTATCTCAACTAAAAACCTTAATTAATTGTATGTTGTCTATGTTTGAATAGATCAAAAGAGGTAAGGGAGGCAGTTTTGCATATATGCAAAGGAAGAGAATTACAGAGATTTGTGTGTGGCTCGAGGTAGGAAGGGCCTCTCAAATGTGGGAGATAGGTCATTCGGAAATGAGAGGGTGTTACAAGAGTGGAAGGAAGATTTGATTCGGACTAGCTGGAAAATATAGTGAGGTCGACAAGTTTATAGATGGTAAAGGAAGGAGCCTAGAAAATACTTCTTATGTAAGGAGGGATAAAAGTCCACATAAGTGACACAGCCAAAAAGAGGAAAGATGAGGAAAGAGACGATTTACGAGTGGCGATTGGTAGGAGCCAAGACTGGCAGTACAGCATGGGAAATGTGTAGTTTCTAGGAAAGGTTTTGATCAAGAGTAACACCGAGGTTTTTTTCCAGTGTGGCAGAAGGAAATGGACTGGTATAATAATTTAAATTAGACTTATATATATTACACAAATTAGACTTAATAAACCAAAACATAAAGGCGGTTCATAACTCCAGGTTTAACCAATATTGGACTACATGAAATTTGCAAACTATCAAATTGAATTGCTCAATTGATAAAATAACAGTCGTAGCTCAGAAAATAACTTTTAATAGCATAGATTGCTTATCAAAGTTTATTGGATTTTTACCAGATTTTTTATATTTACCAGAGAAACTTCTTTTATTTCATGTTTTTTGGTGTTTTTTAAATTTTTTATTTGTATAATTCCCTTGTCTTCTAGCCATAGAAATAGTAAATATTTTTAAGCCTAATAAATAAAATAAATAGAGTCAATGTTATAAAAGAAAGTTATGAGTGACAATGGATTGGGCATATCGCTTGTACCTTATCTATTCTGAGAATCTTGACTTATATGTTCAGTCATCATGTCTTACAGGGCCATAAGTACCATGGTATGTTATCAAAGAAACGCCGATTAAATAAAACTCTTCCTCTGCATTTGAAACTAAACAAATTTCAAACTCTAGGAGCTGTTTCAGGATTACAGTATTTACACTCCATAGTACAAAAAGTATATTATCTAAATATATATACAAAAATAGATAAGAAACACAAAAAAAAATGAAATACAAATTTTAAAAAATCACTGTTAAGTATGCTCGGTTTTCATGGATTTTTCTTTATAGGTACTAAGTACATATAGCCGTTGGCAGTTTGTTTATTTACAAAAAATCACATTGTCATGTTAGCCTCTCTAGTTGAGAGTATATCAGATCCATATAAAAATATCACTTGAGTATCCATTAGTACATTCATATAATGGTTATTTTTGGGTAATCAATTATTTCAGTTCTTTGTTCCTCCAATACTGTTTTAATAGCTTTTAAGATATTATGAGGTAAATGGTCGAGCAGCATTCGAGGCATTATCCTCAGCTCGAGAAAATCTTCAGGACTCAACCACCTCATTTCATAAGTTTCGTCGTCTTCAGACTTCCTAGAAATACATCACGTCAATATATCTTCTTAAAACTTATATAATTCAATATTTACTTTTCATCTTTTGTTTTTCTTTTTGGTGCTATGTGCAATAATTTTCCAGCAGTGTACATTGGTACTTTGCAATACCGTCTTGATAGTACGTCCTGAATGTTTAAAACAAATAAATGAAAAATGTATATGTATATCTAATGCAAAAGAATAAAATCATACACTGTGCGGTGGAATGAGGACTCTACGTTGTTGTTCTGGTGGTCTGAACCTCGGTGTCGGCCTGTCGTTCCTCCATGTAGATTCTAAATCTCGGGATGGAATTCCAAACAACGTGTACCCGAATCCGTTTAAGAAAACCCGGTACTGAAAAAGTGTTCAAAAGTGATTAAGGAGAAATAAATAAAAATCTTGACATTATTTCTTACCTTGGGCAGCCTGCACGATTGCAGAACGTTGAACAATTGGATACGAAGATCCTCAAAATTATGTACACTGAGCCTCATTATGAAGTCATCCCCTAGACCGACGGACATTGCGAACTTTTCAGACTCCGCTGACGCTTTCCTCGACAGTAAACCTCCTGGAAAATTTTCAAAATTTTTCACAAGGGGGAAAACTTTGATTTTGTTTAATACAATATAATCTAAAAACCTACCTGGAGTTGAAAATGCATACACCTTTAAATCTGGAAAAGATGGGCGTAGAAGGAATCCTAAAATTATTGCAGTCCCTGCCCCAAGGCTATGACCTGAATAATTAATAATAAATTTTAACAAAGCAGCAGTTTTTTTTAAAACTAAAGACAAACAATAAAATAATAGATTAACTCTGCAGCCTACAAAAAGCCACAAATGACTGTCAGATCCCATCAGAGCTTTTAAACACTTTAAGCAACTAAGAGATGTTCATATAATATATCTAAGTTTACCAGTCAAAATTAATCCGTAATTTTGGAATGTCTGGAAAGCTTTGTCCAAAATGTGATTTTCGTCTAGTTGTTTCTTGAGCATTGTTGCACACATCAGCATGCCTTTATGAGCCTGCATTGAAAACATTTTTATATTACAAAATATCCTTATAGAATTTTTATATAGGCTATTGAAACATACCAAACTGCCAGGAGGAATGCCTTTTCCTTCGAGCTTTTCAGGGACGACAGTCAAATCTGTGAAAACATCCCTCATAGACAGTGTGCCACGGATGGCGATCACTATGCTACTCGTTTTGTGATCTGCGATGACGATAAACTGGGGCTGGAATATTGACACAATACAATAAACATTTAATTGTCTTGGTGACCTTGATGAAAAACAAACCTCAAATATATAATTTTTGAACGAAGCGTACAAAATTTCTTTGTCTGATAATTTAGAGAGAGCTTTCACGCCAGCAAGCTGGCATAGGCAACAGTTGTCCCCTCTGACTAGAGTAGGCTTTGATCTATAAAAAAAAAAAACTTTGTTTAAATAATAAACAAACAGAGAATTAAGCTGTTTTGAACATTTTACAATTATTTTGCATTAATTATTTTTTTCTTTAAATTACCTGAAACAAGCACAGCATGTTGAGTGCGCTAGTAATTTGAAAATGCCTGTGAAACAATGGAGCATCATGATCATTGGACACCCGTAGCTGGACAAGGAAAGCGTCATATAGTGTTCTGCCTTCTCGAGGCTCATCCAACTCGGTTGGCCTAGGAATGCTTCTTTGACATCTGTAAATGAAACAAAAATTGATTCTCTGCTGTCATCAAGTTGAAGAACAAGATACAACATTTTAAACTGACAGATACTAATACAGTAATTAGTCAAAATTAACATTTTTACTACTTGTTTTAAACAAACTTATTTTGTAAGTTAATTTCAGTGTTGAATTAGCCATCGTGGTGTAGTATGATTATGAAACACATCTCATAAAAAAATAGCTTAAAAAATAAATAGCTGGTTAATAGCTTAATAATGACAACTACTAAAATGTGTCTGTATAATTGTGCACATCAAATCTTTTAAAAGCCTTGAAATTCAACAACTTAAAAAAAACCTTAATTTAAAAAAATAAACAGTGTAATTATTTAGGTTTACAGACGGATGAAGTTATTTGGTTCAGTCGTCTTTCTTCCTGTTGCATGTTAGAAAAAAAGATAAAATAAACCAAAACAGAAAGAAAAGGCAGACCAAGCCATTTAAAAATGACCAAAGCAAATTCAAAATTCATTACAAAGAGTGTTTTCAAATATTACAATCATTATTTTAATAATTGACTGTAACAAATATTTTTATTGTTTTTAAACTGGCCAACGTAATTATAGTACATGTAATAATAACATTTTAATGTTTCAACGATTCTTCAATGAAGTTTTGAGAGAAACATGTCGGATCCAAATTTGGCAAGACCGGAGAAAGCCAGTCTGCTTGCTGCTTGTTAATAATGTGATGGAAGTATTTTTAGTTTGTCTTCACATTCCGACTAGGAGACTAGGGATAAAGAAGGTGAAAGGCCTGTCCATCCTGTCTGTGTGCTCATTTCCTTCAAATTCTGTGAAGCTTTTATTTTACTTTCTAGCAAGGAGACGGTTATTTTTACTATGGAGCATGTCTCTCCTTAATCCTTAAGTAATCCTGAATAAAATTTCCTTATTGCTGATCTTGTCTCTCAAGAGCGTTAAACAAACTAAGAGCAGTACATATGAAGGGTAGTATGCTCCACTATACTTTTGTTTGGTTTCCTTTTTTTTAAATTTTTTATTATTAATTAATGATTGTTTGGAGATCGTGAGATGTGGTCTGGTGTGATTTAGGTTTTAGTAAAACGTTTACTTTATTGTGCCAACGTTTCGATCTTTATTGAGATCATCTTCAGGGCCTTGTATTTATAAGCATTATACAAATCCATGTAGGATGTGAAAAAAATGAATTTCTAGCATTGTATAAATTGATTTTTTTCACATCCTACATGTAATTGTATAATTTAAACAATGTCTATAAATCCCAGCCTCTCCAAATAATTATTAACTAATCACTAAACACCACACATTATTAATTAATTTGATTTTGCTCCCAATCTCATTGTTCTGTCAGTGACAGGCCCAGTACAAATAATGTCGGACAGACCAGTGAGGATAACCAAGACAAAATGATTAGAAATGACCAAACCCCATGAAGAGATTTACATCTAGTTGATGTTGATCGACCTAGGTAATTTAAACTGATGTTCTATTGGATCATCTTGAGGTCATTTTACAGGTGAATAAAGAACATCAATTGGGTTTCACCAAGATTTCGGCGAATGTTCCGCCATCTTCAGGGCCTAATTTATTAAAACCAAAATGGAACATTCGCCGAAAGCTTGGTGAAACCCAATTAGTGATGTTCTTTATTCACCTGTAAAATGACCTCAAGAAGATCCAATACAACATCAGATTTACATCTTTTAAAATCGGGCATTTGGTCTACGAAATCAGAATTTATTTGTCGGGTGTCGAGAAGCGCCAGAGCATACCGCCGGCCGTTCTATGCGCCATACTGATTTATAATATAATACATTTAATTTCAACCTTATCATTAATTAAAGGTATAGTTAAGTTAGAATGTTGCAAATCCTTCATGTTNTTAATAACCTCAGAAAATTGCGTCAAAATTTTGTTGAACTTTAACACATTCCTTGAGATGAACTTTTAATTTAATAGAAAGCGTTGTTAAAAAAAATTACAATAAATGAAATAAACCAGTTTTTGATGTATTACTTGAATAAGATAATAAAACAAAAAAAACCATCATATTTACAATAAAAAAGGGTCTTATTTTCCCTCCATTTGAAAAATAAAAAAGATTTCAGACGTTTTAAATTAGCTTTTGCTTGCTAGATCTCTCTCTCTCTCTCACTCTCTCTCCCCCCTCACCCTCTCCCCCTCTCTCTCTCTAATTTTGGGCATTATATTGGATATGTAATATATATGTAATAAATACAATAGAAAAATAATACTTTGTATGCCTCATAGATTGTGAGATGTATAGTTTCTTGGTTTATTCTGAAATGGACTTTAATATGTTGTTATTTAATTATTGAATATTTCCCCTTGTGCCAGTAATAATAATAATGTACATTATATATAAATTTACAAAAAAAAAACAACTTTGTGTACATCCCTGCCTGCCATCAAAAAGCAAAGCTTGTACTAGACAGCAGGAATTATTTTGGAGATCCACAGAGAAAGAAACAAAATATATCTTTACAAAAGAATAATGAAAAACTAACTAACAAAAAACAGAATAAATGTGTAGTATAAAAAAAAACAACCAAATTAAATCTTGGCTTTAAAATATTTTAACTACAATTTAAAATTTTTGAAATTTTCCTCTTTATAAAACAAAGTGCCATATTTAATGAAAAATCATAATATTGTGTAGACTTTACATTGCTAATGAATTGAACTAATTAATATATTTAATAATAAATGTCATTAATCTTTTTAAATCTCTTCCTTGGTAAATACGGTCAAATTGAAGAAATATTGTAGTGTACCTATACATTGTAGTGTAGGGCTTGCAAGTTTTACATATCAAATTCGAGCGAAAAAGAAATTATTGTAACTCTCACTGGCTGAAAATAGTAATTCAATTGATAAAGCATCTTTTGGTCCTACAGTGCCTTCAAACTGTATATAATTAAGTAACAATAAGGGTTAACAAAAGCGTTTCATCATAATTGCAGGATTTACCTGTTGTATATTTGAGCCTTTGCTCTGCAATCAGCTCGATCCTTCTCTGTTCACGGGACTCCCTTTTCTGTTTCACCCTGAGAAGTACGAAGCCAGAGATGATATCTGTCGGTACGAGGTCTGTGTCGCGGAACATGGAGCTCATAAGGCCTGCAATGAATAACTGATGCAATTACCAATCAGGAGACAGGGGTCCGTCGGGTGTATATTACCGGCAACTTGGGTGAAAGCCTCGTGCGACTGCTTGTCCCTTATGATCCAGCAGAAGATCCATCTGAAACGGCGGAGCCAGACGGACGTCACCTTCCGGTGGTGGAGCGAGTCCAGGGTCAGGTCTGGCTGCGAGCCGCTCAACTTGACAGATCCGATAGGATCGATCACCATGAAAAGAGTGAAGACGGCCAGAGCAAAAAGAAGCCAGTCGAGGCAGACCAGCACTAAAATTTAAAAAAAAAAATTGTAAATTTTAATTACTTCAAGAAAATTCAATAAATTATTGAGCTGATGTAAAAGTAATTATTACGGATTTGTATTAGTGTGAATATAAAAAATATATTTTTATATTTTAATATAAAATAAAATAAATATCTAAATATTTCATTGTAGTTGAATGTCAGTAGCCATATTTCCTTTAATTGCTCAATGTCATTATGCTATCAAAAAATCTTAGTTTTTTTCTTTCGGGTCGGTGCCCCTCCCTGCTTATATCCCTGGCCAGGACCAAACTGCAGGCTTCCCACACTCGCAGGCCTCAACAAGAAATCACTCAATTCTTCCAAAATTTTGAATGTATCTCGCGCTCGTCTCGTCGAGTTCTTCACTAATTCAAAAGCAGAAGAACGATGAAATTGAATAAATTGCGCTTCAAATAGACCTAGGTTCTGCGTGTAATCGATTACGGCGTTTCACTCCATCCCGATTCGCATTAATTATATTCGCATCAACAGTTAAAAGACCGGTGAAAGGTGAGAAGAGAGAATTTCGTGCAGAGAGTTTCCTGGTCGTACTTTCTTTTATCCACGCCAGGAAGAAAATCTGTTGCTTATTTTTTCTTTGCTCTTCATAGTGTACAGTTTCACGATTAAGAATAGACGTGAAATTGAATTGTTCGGAGATGATTTTACGAAATTTAACGTCTCTTCTGTCTTCCAGCAGCCACATGAAAAGACAGACGAGCTGTTTATACAGGGTGTCCTTTTTATATGGCCCGGCTGATTTCCTCTTGAACCAATACGCTATCAAAAAAATAAAAAATACATGTTTAATATTTTTTAATCTAGTTTCAAAATTTTAACCTTTTTTTTGAGAAAAATTATACAGGGTACCTCAGGCTAAGTTCAACTTCACCATTTCAAACATGACCCTATACATCCTGATACATAATTTTAAAGGATTTTTTACTCTGAAAACAAGCAAAAGCAGTCATTTGGTTTGTTATTTATTAATCACATTTGGTGTTCGAACTGCCTGCCTTGCGTAAATATGCAAAGATTTGCTCTTTTTAACCACTCTCCTTTCGCCAGTGCTCAGAGCGATAGTGCCACGGGAGAAGGATCGACTAACATTTTCTATCTTTTCCCGCAGTTCTTCACCTGAGGTTGCTGGGTTATGATTGGCGTAGACACTGTTTTTTAAATGGCCCCGCAGAAAATACTCAAGGAGTTAAATCGGGTGACGAAGGAGGCCAATGAGATCCTATCCACCCATCCCGGAAGTGACGATTCAAATAACGTCTCACCTGCAAAGAATTCTTTCGTGCGGGGCATCATCAAGCTGGAGGATCATTCTTTGTCGTTGCAGAGGAACATCATCTAGTAGTGTCACCTGATGATGACATGAGTTCTCGCATTTTCCTCTGCCCACGTTCGAAAATTCCAACGGTTTAGTATGCCATTAGAGGTGAACATTTGGGCAAGGAACTTGCAAGGAAAACGCCTGTCATAATCAGAGTCCCGAAGTCCCTGGACAAGATGAGCGCGATACGGCTTAAAATTGTCTGGGGTACACCTCTAATTTTATTTTTTGAAAAACCTGAAACCCTTCCGACATTTCGGAGAAGAACTCAGATTTTCGCGAGCACACACAGCTCCTCGTCGAAATTAAGCTCCTGGTTTCTTGATGATGGAACAGCAACTGATCCGTATCTCCTCATAATGCGAGTAAGACGAATAAACGTTTTGTGGCTTACTCTGGAGCAATCAGGAAATTTCTGGCCATACTGCGCGACTGCACGACGCCCACCACTATCAATAAAGCAGTCGTACATATCAACTCGCTGTTGATCGGAAAAATGTGCTCTTCGGTTTATTTTGAATGGAATACTGAATGTAACGAATATGTACTGTTGTAAAATTTATTTACTTACAGGAATTGAGATTTGTTTTCATAAAGCGAGTTTGACAAATAATTGCAGAATGTAAGCAGTAAAGACAATTAATGTTTACTTTAATGAAGAAGCAAATTAATGAAATTAACAACGAAACGGGGCGTCGGTGGCCGCAACAACGGTTTAGGCGTTGACACGGCGCTCATCACGGTAAGGTAAAGGTCTCGGGTTCGATTCCAGCGGCTTGAAAAAAATGCGTTTTTCAAACATTTTGCCCTAACAGTCATTTTTTGACCAATATAAATTCCGATTGCACCATTATTTTCAGCGTAAAAAAATCCTTTAAAATGACGTGCCAGGATAGGGTCATATTTGAAATTTTGAAGTCAAACTGGGTCTGATGTACCCCGTATAATTTTTCTCCAAAAAAAGGTAAAATTTGAAACTAGACTAAAACAAATTAAACACTTTTTTTGATAGCGTCATTGGTTCAAGAGAAATTCAGCCGGATCATCTCAATAGGTCTTGTGTAGAATTATTGTGTAGTTGCATACATACTCACTGTATGTACTATACTATACAGTGAGTATGTATGCAAATATTTGTTCGTTTTTACAATATATATAGATTTTATTTGTGTGAATGATAAAGTGAGGGAGAAAACTCATATACTAACATAGAATGAGTTTATTTACCTAATGAATATTTAACTACGTGCGAAAATATATGGTTTTACCTATTGTATATCACATGTTTTATTGGTGTCAAGCAGAGTTATCTCACTTGTAAAATTGAGTGATTTTTAATACAATTTGACTTATCCCATTTTATCCATCCAAAGGAATACCTGAATAACTGTAAAGCGGTGATACTATAATCTTCAAGTACTTTAAATATTGTTAAAAACTACTTAGGTTAAATACCAGAAATCCAAGTTATTATTAAATGAATGAACTATGACAGTATATTGATCCTCGACAGTTACAATTTCATAACGTTCATTGTTTCATCAAAGGATCGACAATGTTAGATGTTTAGTCTTAATGAGTTATTAAATAGACTCCAAAGAAAAATACTGAAATAACAATAAAATATATTATCTGTGAAAGTACGATTACGATTCGACAAAAAAGGATGTATAGGGTCGTGTTTGAAATTTTGAAGTTGAACTGGTAGCCTGAGGTACCCTGTATAATTTTTCTCAAAAAAAAGTAAAAATTTGAAACTAGACTAAACAAATATTAAACACTTTTTTTGATAGCGTCACTGGTTCATGACAGATTCAGCCGGGCCTAAATAAGAGAAATAAGACACCCTGTATAATAATAAATATTAAACAAAAAATCTAGTTCAACGTTGGAACAATAATGTTATTTTGTCGGCCGATTGAACGAAGTTCAAAAAGAATTGTAATTAGCTTTTAATTTTGCATAACAAACAAATCAGCCTAGTTTCGGAATTCCATCTGAATTGCATTAATGGTGCTACCCAAGTAGAAAATTAATTCTTTCCCTGTTTAGGACAATAAGTCCTACTTTTATATCACTGTCAGCTATTTCAGCTATTCATGTCCTCCTGGCAGGAATTTCGATTAGCCTGAGGTATTCGCTTAAAAAAAATAATACTACAGTAAATCTTAAATTTTAATTACTGATCATTATTCATTTCATCAGCCTCATTAGAAAAACAATCCTTGGTGGAATGTTTTATGTTCTAGCGAGGCCTCCGATTATCTCGCTCTCTATGTGGAAGATTCTTTTACAAGGACGTTTAATGTCGCCTATGCCCTTCACAGGCTCTAATTCACTTTTTATGCAGTGTGATTTCGTCTTGGCTTTTGAACTGTTGTCCTTAAAAGAATAGCTCGAGGCCCTGGAAAAACATACTGTTTTTTTTCTTATAATAAAGTATATATTAGCCCCTGTTGTTTTTCTCTTCTTGCCCAAACGAAGGAAAGTTCACCCATATTCAAAAACTTCAGGTAAAGATTACAACCTTTTCTCCACTGCGACCTATATAAGTCTATTGTGAAGCACCATTGATTATGGCTGTACCGAGGAAAGTGGACTTTTTCCTACAAAATTAAGTACTTTCCTCGTTGCCTCTTCGGGCACCTCTCTTGGTGCTTTACTGAAGTGGCTATACTGTATTAGTGCTTAACATTTACAAATGATATGTGTCGATGTTTCTGATTTCTCCTGACAGAGTCAGCATGTTCCTGTCTCTGCTTTGTCCATCTTCTTTAAGTGTAAGTTCAGAGCCCTCTATAGAGGCCTACAATATTCTTAAATCCGGCCTGCTGAGAAAGATTGTGTTAGAAAAGGAGTCGGACTATTTACAACCTGCTCCCTGTGATCAGCATTGGTCTATTGTGCCTCCACTGGTCACCTCCTCATTAAGCTTAAGGCTTTTTTCCAGATCCCAAAGCATTTTCAAGGACTTTCGTGTGTATCTTTCAGGCCAGGGCTTCTCTTCTAGGAGTTCTCTCACCCTAGATAAGGCTTCGACTAGCAGAGGATGTGCCCCGCTGTCTTCTTCTTTCTGGCAATATCACAGGCTTGTTTCAGCCGTTCCGAGTTTGTACATATACGTACGTCTGCAGTATCCAGTTAGCATGCCAACTGTTATTTTAAAGCGTCATAGTTTTAGTATTGATGGCGTGAATTTCTGCGATGGTCCTTTGATGAACTTTTTCTCATGCTTTTGTCCAGGGCAACATTCCCCTTCAACAGAGGTCTTATTTTTAATCCAATGTCAGACATTTTTGGCAGTTTGATAGGTCGGAACAAATTTGTCTTTCTTTTTGAGAGATTTATAAATTTTTTTAGTTTGCCTTATTCCTGGTGCTTTTGTTCATTATTTGAGTTTTTCTTTCTCATGCCATTTTTCCGGCTCCCACTTTAACACTCTCTATGGTGCTCTAGTTGCGGTTCCAGGCTTATGGTCAAGAGCAGACTTTTCTTTGAAGGTCATTGGCCAGTTGGTCAGCCTGATCATTTACTTCACGTCGGAAGCTCATCCTAAGGTAACTTTGTCGTGTTTTCCCAGGAGAACATTACACAATCTAGACATTCCCAGACTAATTTGGAGGAGCAAAAATTTACGCATTTAGTGCTTTCATTGCTGCCAGGCTGTCTTCTTTGTTAACTCCTATCACAGTATTTTTATTGCTTTTCCAAAGTGACAGTATTTCAATGTGACCATTGCTACTCCCATTTAGCTTTAGCCATTTTCTTCAGCTGCAAATTTGATAGACAGTAATCAGTCATCAATTACAACCCCATAAGTGAGAGACAAATGTCTTCCTATTTGATTTAGTATTTAGTGTACTTTTGTTTTGTCTCAGTCCTGTTGTTAATTGTGCTTACCTTTTTCTAGTTTGTCAGCTAAAAAATATCTAATTGTGTGCGGTTTATGGTATATTTTCATGAGAATCTTACCGTCAATCACCGTGTTCGTGTAGTGGTCGTAGTCGCTGCAATGTACGATGTTCATGTAAGCCCATATCGAGCCCATGACGTTCCACGCGACTTCTGGCCCCAACAAGATTATCCTGAAACGTTATAAATTTTTATAATTATCATGTAATAGGATGTACAATAATTCTAGGTAAATTGGTGTATGGTGAACTCTTCCACCCGTAGGACACATTACGTGGTTCATGTACCACAGGGGCGATAAATTATTTCAACAGGTATTTATCTAAAGTCGTGTAAACTACCAAAATGTATATTATGTAAACATGGTCAATATTTTTTTAAACATAATTTTGAAGGCAAATATTTTGACGAGATAATGTGAAAACACGACATTACTCACATTGCGACAAATTCGTCATAGTAGGCAATTGTAATAACCTTTTAGTGTAAAGTATTAGTTGAAAACATCAATGTCACGATAGCTCAAGTGGTTAGAGCAGCGGCGTATTAAGTCGAAGGTCGTGAGTTCGAATCCCGCTCGTGGCACTAACTTTTTCATTTAACCTATACCTTACATAAAAAGATTAATTGGTCAATCAGACCTCGAAATATAATGGAATTATAATAACGTTGACAACGATCTAACATACCTGAACTCTTTCGTTTAGTATACGGAATAATAAATATTACGTAAAGCGAAATTAAAGAAAGAAGGCCTACAAACACTTAACTTTCTGTATATTAAAAAAACCGACGACACACTTCAATTCGATATGTACCGAAAACTACCATCCCGGAGGCAAAATAGCAGCAATCAAATACATGACAAACAGATTGAAATCAGCATCGTTAACGAATGAAAAATACAAACATCATAGGCATAATTAACAAACTAATAAACATATTAAAAACACAAAAACAAAACGGCTCAACAACAGACAATAAATTCAACAAAAAGGCAGCAAACTATCGGGCAACCTCGAAGACAAGACTAACATGCTTGAATTCATAAAACGCAAAAACGAAAAAATTCTCCCCAGAAGCAGAACATAAAACAGAAATAAATAGTTGCACTCAAATAAACGACGACAAGTTGAAATCAGAATCTCTAAGAATAAAATACTATAAACATGAATTATAAACAGCATAGACATAATTAGCAAACGAATAAATAATACATACACAGTAATAAAAGATAGACAAGTTAATCAAAAACTGTGGCGAAAGGTTTAAAACAAGACTAACAAACTCTAATCAGCAACAGCAACATGCTAAGTCATAACAACCCCCCAAAAAAAGATAAATATATAAAAATACAAACATGAATTCCAAACAACATACACAACATACACACAATTCACAAAGAAACTAATAAACATTGTACAAAAACAAAACATCTCGAAAACAGGCAATAAATTCAACCCAAATCTGCACTAAAGTCAACAAAAACTATTTAACATCTAAGACAAGTCTGATAAACTATAATCAGCAATAACAACATGCTAACAGGCTTAAAGTCATAACAACCCTCCCCCAAAACAACATGGTCCAAACAACATAAACACAATTAACAAACTAATAAACGTAATAAAAAGCAAAACATTTTGAAAACAGACAATAAATTCAACCAAAATCTGCACTAAAGGTAACAAAATCTATTGAAAAACATCTAAGACAAGACTAAAAAACTATAATCAGCAACAACAACAGGCTATCTGTCTTGAACTCACAAAAAACAGTAAAATTCTCTGCAGAAGCTGAACACAACTGCAGCATAAATTTTGCATATTCTCGATTTGAATATTCGAAAAACTGACGACAAATTGTTTGGGAATCGAATTCGATTCCCGCTCGTGACACTAATTTTTCATTTCAACCATATTTTACATAACAATTAAAAAGCAATTTAATTTATTCAATAAAATCATCAAAATTCACAGACTATCAGTAAAATTACATGTACGAACATCAAGCAAGATCGTTTGGCAACAATAACTCGACAGAAAACTACAAACTTTGCATGACGTAAAAACTGGATGAAAGGTGGATATGTTCTGGTGCAAAAAAAGGCCCCAAAGTTTTTCTACTCTTGTTACATTTATGTAAATAACTGCTTCGATATTTATCAGACAAATTCACCACAGGTCATATGTGCCCAATTTGTTTATTTTTGTGCTACCCCTCCTAGTCCAAAAAACAAAAAACAATTTATTGATATTTTTGATTGCTGCTGAATAGAATTGAACGGAGAGGGGGAATTCTTAAGATTGGTCGGGTGGAATTTGGCCCCAGGGCCTAAATGTGTGTTGCTTTAGAGTTACGCCATCGCAAAAGAGGCTTTTGTCCCCGAGAAACAAATATTTCCTTTAATATTACTAAAACGTTAATTTATTAATGATCTAATATTCAGTAAAAATGGTTAAAAAAAAACACTTCCAGGGATCCAAAAATATTGTCATTTCTAGTTTAGGAACCTTTGCCTGGTGGCCCTACTCAGGGGCCGGTGTTATGCTGAAGGTGTTGAACCTTGACTTTACTGTTTGATTTGAAAAGCCAATGGTGCTAAAGAAGTAAACAGGTCTCTACCCTCGGGCATCTTTGAGCCAAATCGGCAGTCGAGTGGTGGAAATTTGAGCTGTTGAGATGACATTCTTACCAGCGGCTTCTGATGTCTATTCTATTAGTGAATGAGAGAGCTCGTCGACGAGATCTGGTTTTAAGCGGTTGAGCTCCTACATAAATTGCTTAATAGAGGCTGCATGCCCATTGACTGCTATTTGGTAGCCTCTTCTTGCACTTCTCTTGGTGTAAAAATTGCATTACCGAAGTGGCTATTCCGGCTAGTGCTGTATATTCACAACCGACATGTCCTCTTGTTTCTCCTCTCAGAATCGACATGTTTTTTCCTCTGCGTTGAACATCTTCTTTAGTTAGACTGTCGCCTACCAATAAGCTTCTTATGTGCAAGGTGGCGGTCAGGTCAATGTCGCCAGGCTGCAGGTTGTGCAGAACAAGTTTCTGAGGCTTGCGTCAGACTCGCCCCGATATAAACGCTTATCGTAACTGCACAATGCGACAAATATGTTGATGGTGCTGGAATAGGTCAGAGGTACAACCTTTAAATTTTTTAAGCAGTGCAAAGCTAGTACCAGTACTATCTGCTGCCTAATAGGCAACTATTGCTTGGACGACAGGTACATTCACAGGAGAATAAAGAACGCTCTCTTATTATTTGGCCATGATAGCTGGGGTTTTTAATATAACATTTTTTTTCCTCATAAATGTAAATAATATATATTCGTTATATTCTAACCCGCCGGAGGTTAAGAGTCGCTAGACAGAAACCCCACTAAACTATTGTATATAATATATATATTTGTAAATAAAAATTCTGTTCTTTAGGTTTTTATTATTATTTCCCAAATATTGCTTGCTGAGAGAGACCTTCGGCTTCCTTTTTGAAATATTTACAAATTTCTTAGCTTTTCTCATACTTGGTGCTTGGGTATTGCAGTCTCAAATCATTTTTTCCAGCTTCAGCACACTCTTCGCTAGTTGGTCAGCCTGTTCATTTCCTACTTCATGTTTCTTCATATCCCAGAACCCATCTTAAGGTAACCTTATTTTGTTTAAAGAGGGTTTGAAACACAGAGACCTTATCGACCCTCGGGATGTCACGCCTTAACCGTTGGGGCCATCGATGCCCCCTGGTAATCTTTGTGTTTTCCTAGACTGGCTTGGAGTTGAAAACATACGCATTTAATGCCTTTAGCACCTGACAGTCTGAAAGTACGAAATCCGTGCACCTTCATTTTCTTCTTTATTGGCTCCTGTGTTCAAAGTTGGACCCTTGCTTGTTTAGGCAATATTATTGCTAATGCAAAGTGGCAGCATTCCAATTTGTCTAAAGTTCTGCAAATTACAGATGTTTTGTCAAAGCTTTAATCATTTTATTCAACTTCTAATTTAACAGACAGACATCATCAACTCCAGCCTGCTGAGCGAGAAACTCTTCCTATTTGATTTAGTTAAATTTTTTGACTCAGACTTATTTGTTCTTATCTTTTTCTAATTTGTCAGCTAAAAAAATGTTTACAATTTTCTTTAGTTGTAGTTATAAGGGCAGTGGCCAGTATAGATGTTAGATGTGTACAGTTTCTTCAAATATTACCTTCTGACCGAGAGGCACACAACTTTCGCCTTCTTCTTTTTTTTAAAAGGATTTATAAATCTCTTAGTTTGCCTCATATTGCCCACTGCTTGAGTTTTTCTAGATCAAGTTATTTTTCCTGTTCCAACTTTAGCTCACTCTCCGGTGTAGGTAGATATGGTTCCGGTCCCAAAGGTGAGAAATGTGCTCCTTCTTTTGCTATTTAATCTTTAATCTTTGCTTTAACATCTAAATTTTTAAATAACAAGATCGTTATAACAATACCACTAATCCTCTAGAATCCAGAGAAAAATTATAGCCCTAGAAAAAATCACACGACCTTTCAGTTTTCACCAATAGCTATTATACAACTGTCTTCGTATAGTATGGTTTGGTATGGTGGAAAGGATACTAGGAAGCGGGGTTTGTACTCCACAGGCACTGCAGCCTTCTGGTTGTACCTTCCTAGTTCCTTAGTTTAGTCAATAGACTCAATCCTTCTTCTCAGAAGTATCAGGTGACTGGGGCTGCTGCAATTTGATTCCCTAAGTCTTTTCCGTACGTTAGGTTAAATCTCNTAGTCCTACCACTCCTCTGAGTTTGGCCCTCTCCTATTGCAGCGGTGTTTTTGCCAGTCTCGGTGAGGGTTGTTTCATCATAAGTTTACTATGTCTAGCACCACTAGAGTTTATCCACTTCTCCTTTTGTTTTGCTTGGATCCATTCTGCGATTAAGGATTCTATATTTGTTTTTGTTATCCCAAGGATAGGTTCGGGACCATAGTCTTGCAGATCCTCCTCTGGCCAGTCTGTCTGCTTTCTCGTTACCCAAAATTCCCCTGTGCCCGGGACCCAAGATATCATCAGGTTGTTGTGTTTTCCCAGGTTTTGGAGATTCTGGATGCATTCACTGACTAGTTTTGATGTGATTCTTTTACATGATAATGCTTTAATAGCTGCTTGACTGTCTGATCTTATGAGGATTTTTTGTCAGTGTAACCTCTTTTAAGATTTTCCAGGGCACAAGCATTGATGGCATGTCTGTCCGCATGAAAGACCGAAGTGTACTTCCTAATGAATTTGATTGCTCATGTTTTGGGCTTGTAACGCCTGAACCGGTTCCTTCGTTTGTTTTGGAGCCATCTGTGTACCATATCGTTGTACAGATGCTCTCCTGTGTTCTTCCTCTCCTTTATAGTCCGTTGAGACTTTACAGGAAGTTGTGAAGATTGTTTCCGGGATCATCAGTCCCCATTTCTAATAATGGGTATCTGATTTTGTTGATTATGGTTGTATGCCCGAATTGTTTACTTCCTTTCCAATTTAATTGTTTCTGGAACCTAAGTGAGCTTTTCCTAACCTCTCCTTGTATGAATATTTACAGTGGAGGTAAGTTTAGCAAAGTTTCTAATGCGTTTGTAGGGGTTGTTCTCATCGCCCCTGTGATACATAGGTTTGCTAGTCTTTGTATGCTGCCTAATGTTTGGGTAGCTACTTTTTGTTGAGATTTGTTCTACCAGATTAGTTGATCCATAGGTTAGCTCCATCCAACTTTATCTCACTCTCCGGTATAGGTAGATATGTTTCCGGTCCCAAAGGTGAGAAATGTGCTCCTTATTTTGCTATTTAATCTACCTGTTATTTGCTTTACATCCAAATTTTTAAATAACAAGATCGTTATAACAATACCACTAATCCTCTAGAATCCAGAGAAAAATTATAGCCCTAGAAAAAAATCACACGACCTTTCAGTTTTCACCAATAGCTACTATACAATTGTCTTACAAGCCTTCCTTTTTATTTTTCCATGGATCACTTTGCAAACTATTCATATTCCTTATAACTACAGGTAATTTTAAAAATAATTATAACTCACTTAATGGCAAGCAGTTTTGGCACGTGCCTCCTGGAATAGACATCGACGATAGATCCCTGTGCGCTTCTGTTTATTATCACAACTAATAAAACGCTGACTAGTCCCAGGATTGAGAGTTTTCCGATTAAGTACGCCCGAATTATATCTCCTCCCGATGTGCAGCCATAAGTCGCCAGGTAGTATCTGCAGGTCGCCACGCCTATAAGCGTCATCCTGGAAAATATTAATTAGTTAGAAGCAGTTTAGATTTAAAATTATATGGTCGTCAAGTAGAAAAGAGTTTAATTTAAAAAAAAAAATCACGTTAGGCATATGTCATTCATGATTTAATCGACTGTTGGTGATTGAGTTTGATTTTTAGGTAACGTGTGTGTGGTGATTAGTGACCGTTAGTCGATGATTATTGGGAAATTGTGAGATGCGGTCTGGTGTGACGTAGGTTTCAGAAAAACATTTTCTTTATCGTACCAACGTTTCGATCTTTATTGAGATCATCTTCAGGGCTCAGAGTGTTTGTTTTCTGCGGAATGTGCCATTCTTGTGTATTGAGAGTGCCCAGTTTTTAGGTAACGTTCAAAATTACTCGCAGAAAATTTCATATCGTTATCTTCAATTTTACGGCTTATTCTCTATTGAAATAAAACATTAAAAAAAGGAATATTGAAAGTAAGAAAAATTGTTAAGGTTCCATTCTTCAAAAGAGACAACCAACTTGAAAGCCACAGGACTCTAAAAGAAAAAATATGGCGATTTTTAAAATTCTGCTACTCCATTTGTTGTGAATGGAAATATCACTGAATTTACATCGTGTCGAAACCCTATGAAATGTTTTATCTATCGCCGTTGTTTTGCCTGGACATGTCTGTCACCCTCCGAAGGCAGAACGTTATTTCATCATTGTCCAACGTCCATTATCACCCTCGGCTCATGATATATGCTTTTATGTTCTAGACTTAGGTGTTTTTATAACAATGTTAGAACTTGTTCAAATAATCGATTCTGTAAAATCATTGTAATGAAAGATTCGACTAAAGTCTAACTACAGTCTTCCACATTTGCATTACAGATTTTGATATGGTATGGGATTAATTAATAGTTCTAAATCAATAATACCGTTAAAATAACAGCACCCAAGATTTTATAAAATGTATTGCAAAATGACACATCGCAGCAGGCACGTCACGTGCAAACGAGAGAGGAAGAGCAACACCTTGTCAATTTCAATTCCCTTATCAACCCCGACACGGCCGTCTAACTTGTCCTCTCAGCATCATGTGCAGGTTTTGGTTGCTTAGCAACTAATCACATTTGGCTCATAACTAGACTACAATACTCGACTATGCTTCTAGTGGACAGCGCCTTACAGCAAGAAAGATACACTATCAATCTGGATTTCTCAGTTTCTATAAGGGAATTATTGCGTCTTATTGGGGTACATCTGAAACAGTAATTCATTTGGTCATATATGAAGCGATAAAAACTAAACTTACTGAAATGAGGGTGGACAGGAGTGAGATTAAACAAGAGGACAATGACAACAAGGGTTGTCGAGTTCATGATAACAGGTGCATGTTCCAAAATAGTGGCATCGTGTATCGCTTACCCTCAGGAAGTCGCAAGAACTCGTTTGAACATTGGTACTGCATGGATAGCATTATTCACTTCTTTCACTTTTTCATCTTTTTTCCAGGTCTGATGAATATAGCAAAGCAGAAGTTTTCCGCTAGGCGCTTTTGGCATTGATGGTCTCCAAGAGTGAGCTATGCCTTTTATCCTTCTCACTTCTTTGCAACTATAGTAGTTAAATCAAAGCGGGGCATTTTCCAGGTGTAAAAGTTTTGGCAGATTTTAAGTTTGACCAAGATGTCAACCTTTTCGTTGCCTCTATGCCCCGAGTGTCCAAGGACGCATGACTGACTTCCGTCAGGGACTCCATCCAGGACACTCTGTGCCTTCGCCTCGCAGTGCTGCCTGGTTGTCAGAGAATATGGCTATCTTCCGGGAATGTATTCCTAACCTATTTCTCTGGTGCATTGTTCAATCGCTATGATTCCAGACTGTAAAATTGTAGTATATTTACCAAGGTTTATCATCAGTTCGGTCTTTGGGTTTATCCCGAAGATTCCAGCTCCCGTACCCTTGTCGGTTTTGGAGTCGTCAGTATATCAGTAGGAGTTTGCCTTTAGCAGTGTTCCTTTGGCCCATTCTTCCCGTTCTCGTATCAGTACCTTGTACTTTTTAGCAAATTAGAACCTAGAATTGCATCTGCCTGTATCTCTTCCCTCAGTTTCCATTGTTTATTTACATGGCAAATCCTTGCAGATAGTTGTCCATTTATAGCTTTGGGCTACTGCTTTGGCTTTTCCTTGAATTAAAATATGAAGAGGTGGGAGGTTTAACAAACTTCCAAGGCCGCTGATGGTGTTGTGCTCATGGCTCCAGTGACATTGAGACAAGAAGAAGGATACAGGAATGTGTACAGAGGACTGGCGCAGCTCGTTCGGCAGATTCCACGGTCATAATGATTTCAACATATGAAGCTCTTGTATATATTGTGACAAGTTTCTTTAATTTTAATAGTCATTTTTATGAAGAACCTAGGTTATTTGAACAAAGCTTGAAATTTTGTTTGTTAGATAGGACATCTTCATACGAGAGATTAAGTACAGGAAGGCATGTGAATTTTTCATCAAATCAGGGTCAAAGCAAACATTTTTTTCCTGGGTGTGAAATTAGTCATTTGGAACATTTAAAATTGAATGCTGTGAAAATACGTCAACACAATTGGCCTGGTGTTATTGTACATAGTTTGTAAAAAGATACATTGCTATTGTTAAAAAATTATAAGATTTTTTAATTGCAAATGAGATATCCTGTTTCCTTTTGTTTTCTTAATGATAATTATGTACTTAAATTAAAATGTAATATTGTATTATTATTAATTTTTACAGAAGCCAAAGTTTTGTTTTACCTATTTGTTAAGAAAAAGGCAATAAAATACCATGGTTGTTAATTGTTATGTGAATGAGATGACGAACAGTTCAACCTTGTTATGTCTTTTTATTGGGATTTATTATTGGTAATAATAAAAAAAGTTGGCAGTTCGTCATTTCTTTCACAAAACAACCTTGTAATTCAGACAATCAACCTTCAAGATTGGTCTGGCACAACGAAATTCAAAAATCCCGCCAAAGTTTACGCATGGAATTATGGGTATGATAAATTTGGTGAGTGCGAACTATGAAAAAGAGCTGATTCATTTCACTGAGTGAACGGTTTTCTCCTAAATCTAACCGTCGATACAGGTCCATAGGAGCCACTCAGCGATGCAATAATGAAACAGCCAAAACCGAGTCAGCGTTAACCAAGGATCTCCTGAATCAATGTACTTTTTGACTTAAACTTAAGTAATTCTTTTTACTTTGTTCATGCCCATTGTTATTTGCTTAATAAAATTAATTAACTTTATTGAAAATCAAATCTTGAATGCTAATCGTAGAAGACGGTTCATAATCACCCGATTAAGAATAGGACGGAATCAATTCGAGGTTGGCACATGGGCACTTACTTTTGGGCCAAAGCCTGCGTGTGTGTCCGGCCTTCAGAGAAAGGTTGCTCGATGTGTCCCACCTAATTGAAAGGGGCAATTCTTTGGCTCCATATTTCGAGCGCGCAGGAATGCCACCGGATTGGAGAATTGTGCTTGAGCACGGCAGCGAGTATCTGGCTCCCCTGTTCCGATTCTTGGAGGAACGAAGTTGTCCTATTGTATATAGTAATAGCAGTTGTGTTTACCTAGTTTATGTTAAGAGTGAATGTATTTATTAGCGTGAATGTGACATGAGAGGATCGATGGAATATCGAGTACCCCATTGACCCTCAATTAGGTTAGTTGTATAATGTGTGATATGAGAGGGTCGATGGCGGAATATGGAGTACTCCATCACCCTAATGTCATGTAAATAGGAGTGAATATATTTAAGAATGAACGTGAGTACGAATGGGTTTGGAACTGCACGGGTTGGGTGCTGAATTGACCTAGCTGTTGATAGCACCTGGAGCCCAACCTCTGTGGCTGGACGGATAAGTCTGAGGACTGTTTCCCGACTGCCAACAACCGGATGGGTGGTTCTCGAGTCTGCCGGCTGTTTACAGTAAGTAGGAAAAGCTGAAACTACCGATGGACTTCTAGAAGCGAATAAGCCCAATTCGGCACATGTTTGTGTATATGTATATTTGCGGATTTGAGTCTATATAAATCCAAATCTAAACATCTTGAATGCAATAGCTTCATTACATGTGAGGTGATCTAAGGCGTCTAGTCTTATCAAAATGAAAAACAAAAATTAAAATTTCGAATCAAAATTACTCACCAAAGTCCTCTGATGAAAAGTTCGATGAGGCAAGGGAAAACCATATCGTCCGTCCCTGCCAGCCACTTGCGGCCAAACAGTGTTAGGGCCGGCATGGCTCCCTATAAAAAATAAAAACAAAATATAAACAACTTATAAAATAAATAAAATGTCACTCTTTTGAAAATTAAGAAGCGCTAGACGAGAAAGTCGTTTGACCAGCTGAAGGACGGATTTCACTTACATATTTGGTGGGCAAATTGGTACGCGGTGGTCGTACGTTTCTTGTATATTTTCGGCCGTCGGCTTCGAAATTCTCACAGGTGGGGTTTGTATTGTTTTTAAACTGTCCTTAAGATCAGACTGATTATAGTTGGGACAAAACCGAGACAAGTTAAGGAAACCGGAATGAGACGGTTATTCAGTGATTCTAAACATGGTAATTAGCCTCGAGCATTGCTGTTAACTGCTTCCAGGCGGAAAGCATATTCTGCGATTTAGATACGTACCAGTAAACAGTAAACGCTGAGCTTTTGACTTGGGGGACCTTGTAGGCTTTAGTAATCATAATCTTTCACGGGCTTCTAATGATGTAATCGTGATATCTCAAGTTGTTTAAGCCATCTCAAGGTATTTTCATACGGCGTAATCCTCATGAAAACTGGAAGTCAGACAACAATTCGTTGATATCACGCACAACAAATGACAGAATTTTCACTGTGACTACACGACCTGGTTTACTGATGCGACTAAATAAGACATTGGTAAAGATTTTACCAATTGGAGTTAATCATTAACAGTAATTTTTAAATTGTAATAAAGATGAAATGATGAATGGGTTTTATTTTAAAAATAGATTTTCAGACAATATCTCATTAAACACCTCGACCGTTTTACAAAACAAATATTTATTAGGTTGGCTGTTGTTTGGTCGTTTCAGATCATGACCGATGTGACGAAGATAAGTGAACCATTTTTGATCGGGAACGAAACCGAAGGTTCATCACAGCTCAGATCTCAACAATTCTCACAGTTTGACATATTTGTCGTTTTTAATCATGCCTAACAGAAAAACAAGTAAGGATTAGGCAGACAGGCAAACAACAAAAAGGTTCATCTTCTCAAAGATCTCAACTAGAAATCAAATTGTTAGATCTCAACATGTACTGTGTTTGATCGTTTCTGATCATGTCTGACAGAGCAAATCAGCGAAGATGGGTGGGTCCTGAATAGCCACAGGTTTTGCCATCTCGTAGGACTTAACAAGTCTCACAGTTTCTTACTTTTGTTGTTTTATTTGATCAAATTTGACAGACCAAAGGAGCAAGGGTAGGCGAGCTTGGAACTATCACAAAGGTTCATCATACTAAAGATCCTAACGATTTTCGCATTTTGGCATGATTTTTGGTCGTTTTCGATCATGCCAGACATACAAAACGAGCAAGGATTCGGTAGGCTAGTAAAAAGGTTCATTACATAGTAGATTTCATAAAAAATTTGACATTTGAACAAGTTTGATGTTGGGGGTCCAGACCAAATCACCGAGGATAGGCGAGCCGGGAACTACCAGAAAGATTCATCATCCCGCAGACCTCTACAATAATCTCACAGTTGGGCAAGTTTGTCTATTTGTCTTTTTCGATTATGTCTGGCAGTAAAAACAAGCAGTAAACAACCAAAAAGTTCATCACACCGCAGACCTTAGCTGCAAACCTCACAATTTGTCATATTTGATGTTGGGTCCAGACCAAACTAGCGAGGATAGGCAGACCCGAAACCAAAAAGTTCATAATCTCGCAGACCTCAACAAAATTTTTCGTTTTCGATCATGTCAGTCAAAATGAGCGATGAGTAGGCAGACCAAGAAACAACCAATAGTTTCATTGCACTTTACAATTCTCACAATTTGACAAGTGTGCTGTTTGGGTGTTTTCGATCATGTCGAACACCATAACAGAGAGAACGGTCATCAGGAAGCTCTTACAACCTTTTCAAACAAAAAGGTGAAAAATTTTCAAGGTACTCTATTTTTTCTAACAACAAATTTCTAATGCAGTTTTTTTAATCAAAGTTATCCCCAAATTAAAATAGTGTAAAATTACACCCAAAACAATCTAACATGATTGTTATCAGACATCTCGTACACACGGTGGTAATTAAGTGCATATCGGACAGTTTCCTTGAAAATAAGACCTGGATTTTTTGCAATAAATTATTTCCCAGATTATATGAGAAATATGTATGAGTCTACAGACGTGGGATCGACGATTCCAATTAAACTTTTTTTGGTGTACAGGGTCGAAAAATATTCGATATGTGCTTTCTTGCCAATGATTTTAGGAGCCGTAAAAAAAATAAATATATTTTGACCAATTTAAATAATTAATAACTTAATAATACGTTTTCTCCTTTGGTTATGCACTTATTTTAAAGTTATTATATATCATTTGATTTATTTTTTCACTTAGGATAAGAAAATAATATACAGGAGCGGATTAAATTGATGTTAGCTATATAAGTCACGAATCCAAAGTAGGACCACTTAAATAGTTTTTGAAAAAAAAAAACATACAAAAAACAACCGGATTCGTTTTAAGCAAATTAAAACCATTAAATACTTTATAATTAATGTCATTAATTATAAATCATTAATTTTTAACTCAATCAAAGATAGACGTTTTTGGGCCGGACAGCTCGGAGGAAATTTTTTTAATCTCTGATATAAGTTGTTCTATTTAAAAATTCATAGCTTTTCTGAGCTTTATCCAAATTCATTGTTATTAGAACCGTTCGAAAGTTGTCTTTTCTTTCTGTTGTTTAGATTTATGTTTCATTACATGAGAAAAATAAAGATGAAATCAACTCTCTCAAACATTTTATTTTTCATCTCCGGTGCTAATTTGTTTACAGAAACCAAAGTTATGCCACAATGTTTAGTTTATAAGGTTTTAAATCTTTAAAGTTTTCTGTGGATCCGCGTTTTCCGAAAAATCGAAGAAATTTGGAAGGCAAAAACGTCTAGCATTTTTTTTTTATTTTACCAAAAATATGTATTCAATGATACTTTCGGGTGCGAAAAACAAATATCAACTCTGTTTCTTGATAAAAAAATATTTTACATTTGCTGACATGTCTCCTGCCCATAATATGGAATTCTGTCAGGTATTCTTTATACTGAGTTGTTTTAAAAAATAAATAAAAGCTGCTTAATGAACCAAAAGTATTACAATCAAGCTCATTTTCTTTTAAAACATAAATTTAAAACATTCATGCTCCTGAGTTTTTGCAAATCGCTATCATTAATTTTTCCGTTGTGTAAACTGCTTGCAGGGAAAGTTTCAAGTGTGGCCGAGCTGTTCTTTGACTCGACGACGATGATAATGAGCCACTCATTCGACCGTCCTTTGAATCGTCCGTGGACTAAAAAATTATGCATTATCAGGTCCTTCGGTAACGCAATTGCCCTTCTCGAAAAATCATTCGATCCATTAGATAAAATAATATAATAAATCTTAACTGTTGACAAGGCAGAGACTGAAAGGTCGAGGATACATGCGTCAATGGTGGGCTGTTCCCGGTTGTATTCGTTAATCATGAAAAGGTTTTCCACTTCAAAGATTCTTTTGAACACCCTGTGAATACCGGCCGATGTTTAATTTAAGATTGAAAATGAATGAATCTAACGGGATTCTTTACAGATATCTCAGTTATAAGTCCATTATATTAAATGTAAAAATTATGTAAAGAAACAATAAATTTTGATGTGCCATAGAGATATCAGTTCAAAATGTTCCGGTACCTCAGGGTAATAACGATTTTTGAAGGATTAGTGTTTGTGTTCTGTGTCTCTGTTTTGTCTATGTTAATTGATTGAAATTAATGTAATTTAGTTAGTACTCTGGGGTATGTGCGACGTCTGGAGGGTAAGTTGAAAATAAGAAACGTTGTTAGTGAGAATGGAGTGGGTTAACTGCTTCAGATTCTGGACCTCAGAGGGATAAAGTGGCTATGTGGACAATACTGTACTGACCGCTAGAGCAAAATTCTGAGAAAACCTCTGTGACAATCTAAAAAGGGCTAAAAATCACAGATGAATGATGTAAGATCGCTGGATTATGGATTAACTCGTATAAAACCATCGTCTCCAAATATGTAGGTGTTACACTAGACAAAATACTGGCATTTAAGGAACATATCGGCTCCACGATCATGAAGGCGGAGCCTTAATGGTGTACAGAAAAATAGTGGGAAAACTGGGGATGCAGACCGGAAACCCTGCTTTGGATGTACACAGTGATGGTGAGACCTATTCTCATATATAGCGCCATAGCTTGAGCCTATAAAGTAGAACAAATATCAAAACTAAGAGAACTTACGAAAATACAGAGACTTGCATGCATCTGCACACGGGGAGCAATGAGAACATGTCCCACAGTTAGTATGGTAAAAAGTATTGGGATTAAACCCCCTACACCACATGGTAACGAGGACAGCACAGAAAACTATCAATATACTATTATCAATATCAATATAGTATTATCAAAGAGAAACCTCCAACAGGAATAAAACTAAACTGGAGAGATAGCTACAAAATAATGAAAGACCTCCGATACTCATGGCTTCAAGAGACATGAACAGGATATTTGAGTTTAACAAAAATTCCAAATAAACTTAGGAACAAAAAAGAATGGGAAAGAGAGAAAAACACCTCCTTTAAGAATGGCACCATCTTTTGGTACACAGATGGATCTAGAACACAAGAAGGTACAGGGGCAGGAGTATTCGGTCCTGGAACCAAAGACTCAGAACCCATCTTTTTAAAAAGAGAGTTCCTATTCAAATTAGGTTGTTTTCGTCGATCCGGATTTCGAGCTTATAGCTCATCATCAGGTTGAAGGAGTTCTACAACCTCTTCATGAGCTCCGGATCGTTGAAAACAACTTACTGTGAGTAGGAACTATCTTGTAAAAAGATCGAACAGCACACTAACTCCACCATTTATCCTTTCTAATCAGAGCACATGGGAAAATTAACCAGTAACTTCCAAGCTGAGGTTCATTCAATATACCCAATTCAATCTGAACAAAGGGTGCAAAACAAGAATATAGCTTTCAGGTCAGAT